AATTACCTTATTTTTTTTCCACAAAGAACTAAGTGCTTGTCGACAAGCTTGAAAAGATCCATAAGAGGAGTATCGTGATCCGAATATCAAAGAAGTAAATGATCCAGAAGAAGAGCGACTACTTCCTTCACTTAACAAAGTTGTTCTTTCAGACAAATCTATCTGAATATTCGAAGAATTCATAACTATTCAGATCTTTGTTTTCTTTTTTTATAATACCTTTTGTCAGCTAATACCGACAGTAGTGTTTTTATTATCCAGCATGATAAAAACTTTTATTATCATTTTACTAACCGCCAATTAAAAAATTTTGAATAACAATCACTGACCACTGTAAAGAGATAATATAAAATTAAGCTTCTTACTGACTTTATGAATTAAATATGAACAATGCTAGGATAATATCCTACTTTTTAAAGAACAATAAGCTGATTTGATCCCGTGGATAATAAAAATGTATTGTTGTAATTTTATAAATGGAACCATGTAACGATAGACGATTGTTAATGGATTAATATGTACTAAAATACTTTTCAGTAGATAGGTAATACTGATCGTCGTATTGGAGATGACTAACTGCAGTGGTCAACTCGAAAGTGAGATAACAAAAAATAAATATTAAACTCCATTCGACTTTGCTTGATAGCTGACAGCCAGTACCGGCTGCGACAGATAGATTATCTTTTTAACTCAAGTTTAACTGATAGCGAGGATGAGAAAATCGAGGGGGAAAAAAGATGAACAACACTCTTCTTTTAACTTTTAATAGTTTATATGATGAAATATAAATAGCAAAGTAAAAGTAATAAATAAAAAAATGCCATTAGGCAGCCAAAATGGAAGTATACTTTTGAAAATTGGAAAAATTTTTATTTTGACTTGGTTTGATTCAATTTTCTTTGATGTTGTCAAATTGCCGAGGATTTTATTTCAGATCCTGATTTTTTTTTTTGTAATATTGATTTAATCTTAATTTTTTTGCTTAAATTATTCAGTTGCCTTAAATTTGATTTATTTTTGACTTAAATTTAACGGAAGACTAATAACGAAAATAACGGAATGTTTATAGAACAGATAAACCGCTAAAATAACCGTATAAAAATATCGCCAATTACTTGATTATTTATTAATTATTTTTTTAATAAACATGGACATGTAACAAATAATTCTATACAGTATTTCTTATTTGGCAATTTTTTTCACTTTATAAAGAATGAAAGTAAATTAAAATTGAGAGGATTGTGACTTAAACCAAAAGTAAAAATTAAGGTTTTTTTCTGACCCGAGAAAACTGAGTATAGACATTAACACAATAATTGAGAAAATATATAAATAAATTTATATAATAAAATGTAACAAGGAATGCAAAAGTAAAATTTTATCAAATGATTGGATGATAAAAAAATTTTTTTTTAATATATTTATAGATGAATAAGATCCTATTTAATAAGCTTTCAGATGAAGTTCATCAGAATTTAACAATAATTGCGCCAAGAACTAGTAAAACTGACAATTTTCTCAAATGTTAAAACTCCTAAATTGCTTTCATTTTAAAACTTATTGACCTAAGAAAATATGTAGTTATGTAGATTAAGGCTTATTTAATGAGCTTTCAAATAAAATTTACAGCAATTTAGTAAATTATCGCATTCAATAGCTATGGCACAGAAAAACAGTACAAGTGAAAATTTTTAGGAATTTTTGAAAACTTTGAATTGCTGTAATTTGTACACAGAAAAAAAAATTTCTTGGCTGGAGAAAAAAATTCTTGGCTCAAGTAAATTTTCGGTCGCCCGAAAGAAGACCGAAGTTGTCTTGGCTGAAGTAAAAATTTTTCTTGAAATTCTATTCTTGGTGGAAGTAATTTTTTCTTAATTCAAATTACCATAAATACTTGATACAAGAAATTTTTATATTTGATCAAGATTTTTAGATACTTTAGGGAAGCAGCGCCATCTACTTCAACTGAGAAAAAAATTTTTCTCTTGAATATTTGATACCCATTTTATATTATTTTACCGTGCAATTATACATATTGAATGAAAAAAAATGATTCAATATTATTTGATCTTCCCATTTGACAAGTTAGTCAAAAGAAATATTAATAAAAATTTACTATCAAGATATTTAATTTTTTGGAGCAACAGAAAAATTTTCTCAAGACAAGAAAATTTACTTCTGTCAAGAACTTAATTTTTTGGAGCAAGAGAGAAATTTTCTCAAAACAAGAAAATTTTCTTGACTTAAATAAAATTTTCTTGGATCAAGAAACGTATTTTTTGAAGCAAGGGAATTGATTTGTTGGAATAAGTGAAATTTCTTGCGTCAAAAAAAAATTTTTTTTTCGCCCAAGTAATTAATTATGAAGAATAGTATTTTCTTGGCTCAAGTGAACCTTTCTTTCTGTGTAAACTAACCAACCGATTAAGCTGATCTTTGGACTTAACCCTGAAAATCGTCTAAAAAAGAATTATGCTACATTTTATGAAGATTCGATAAGAATTGTGTGTTATAGTACAGGCAAGGTCGGTTATATCGTAAATAAACTTTTGAGTTTAAAATGAAATATTTTGAACCGGCTCGACGAGATGAATCACGAAATAGGAAAATTTTTTAAAAGTTGCAGTATGAGGACAAATGTAATAGTTAAATTTCTATAAAATTTATAAAAAATACCTCGTGTAATCGATGGACAATATCTTGAGATCTTTCTTTAAAGAAAAAAAATTGATTTTTTCTGTAATCCGGTTGTAATGAAACTTGTCGATAAATTTTAGCGTCACTAGAACGAGTTTTTTTTTGCAGCAAGTGAGACATTGTAAAACGTAACGTTAAAAAAAACGCAAGGTAAAAGTATATATTCTTATTAAGGAAACTATATCTTTTAAACTTTAACAAGTTCCTTAAATAAAACTAAAATGATGACCTTGTGTTTTTGTAATAATTATTAAAATATTATGATATTTTTAAACTATATAGTAGCTAGAGTATAAATTGATATAACGTTACAAAAGTAATTAGAGTACTTGCAAAGTCAATTTGAAATCTAGCACAAACTATCACTACACTCACGTCCGAACGATAATGTGTCATATAATTCCATTGTTCTTGTATCGTTGAAGAAGTAAAATAAAAACTATCAGAGATTCAAGCTACGGCTTAATCTAGTCACTTGAGAAAGTATGCCGTAAACTATTTTCTAACCGTGGAACAATACGCTCTGATATGAAGGCACGTTGTGAATGTCCTGACTTTGTTGAAACAGGTGAGTAAAAAATGCTTTAGTCCGTACGTGAAGTGTTATATTGTAGTTTCAACTGTGCTATTTCGTGTCAAATGTCCTTGCGATTTCAAGGTAACGATTAGACGTGGGATTAGCTCTGCATATATTATCTACACGCTAGTACGAAATTTATTGAAAGCGTTATTAATTTACAAATTTACACTATTTATTAAAATACTTATTACTTTAGTAATCGGTAATTATTTATATTAATTTTACAATATTTACCGTTGAAAGCGTTTGGTTAAATTATAATGTTGAATTTAACTTTCTGGGAATAGTCAAATCAAACTATTTAATTTTGATCAAACATGTAATTAATTTATCTACCTTAATAACTAAAATTGGATGATCGATAACGTTAATGGGTTATGAAGGACATGAAGATAAGATTAAAACAGCGATCCAACAGATGATACTTTTCAAGAGACTAACATATCACACAAAAAATTACTACCAATACTTAGACATACAACAGTTTGAGTTAAGTAAAGAAAAAAAAAAAAAGAAAAAATTACCCCTGCGTTGCCTGACCACCAGAGTTTAGAATCTGCCACCCATGTAAACGAAGCCATTTTTTTGTAACTAAAAACTATTAAAAATCTAACTCAAGTTAAACATTAACTAAAATTATACCATATCAATACTAATTTATAATTAAATATTATTTGACAGGCTCTGAGTTTTTACTTGTTGAGTAAAAACTTAATTAACTAAGAATAAAGTACTAGCAGAGTAGACAGAATAATAAACATTGAAACGAAATATTTTTCTACCAGGAAGTCTGGAAACACATGACGTATGATGCATGACCCATTGTACTTATATCATGTTTGAGTATCTTAAATATGTATATATAATTATCAATGCGTGTAACGATCAATAGTTAAATACAACACTGCATTATATGCTTATTATGTACAAACATACATACTTAGGATTCAAAGACTCACCAGTTTATTGTATGTAGATCAATTATTGAGTAATTAGACTCTTCTATCAATCACATGGCACAATCTACGAAAAAAAAAAATAGATATTATTATTATTATTTAAATCAATTACACTTGTAGTAATTTAAAAAATAGTATCAGAAAAAAAATAGTGGACTAACTATTGATAAATAAATAAAAATTTTGAATATTGCGTACGGATCACATCCTTGTGTGACAAAAAAATTGTAGATAATTTGATAGTAATTTTTATGATAAATAAAATTAAATAAATGATAAGTATCAATTATTGTAATCGTACCTCCAACAATTGTTAATGGTTGATCACACCAGACAAAAGACAGAGGATGACTTGATTCAGATATCTTTAATAATATCTAACAATTGTATTACGTATCTATAACCTTAATGTACTCCGAGGCCTCGGGGGCCTGATTTATTGCTGATATACAAGCTCGTTAAATTATTAACCACATTTAAGTAAAATTATTGTAATTACACAAAAAAGTTTCATTTATTGTTAATGGTTAATTTTATTAAAAAGCTAGCAGTGAATGCAAAACACGTCACCGTAAGCTTAAATTTTTTTTCAACTTTTTTCGCCATTCTCCATTTGACCTTCCAAGAGCTGTCGTCAGTTGGCGCCACTATGACAATTCAAAATCAGCTGCCGAGAGTGCTAAACTTTACCCACGTGGTTTAATAAATTTTAATTGTCAGTTTGTTTATTTTGTTTTGATTTTTTATTGATAAATTGTTAAATTATGACGGATAAAATAATAGCTCTGCCTCAAAAAAAATATTACCGGCAACGAGCACATTCCAATCCCATTGCCGATCACTGTATTGAGTAGTAAGTAATTTCTGGTGTTGTAATTATTATTTTTTAAGGTTAATAGTTCATCTTTAAGTTGAGTTTTATTAATTAAACAATTGATTTTTTTAGCCCTACGAAGCCTGAGTTGATGGACTGGAGTTCGCTGTATCCGGAATATTTTTCTGATAGTCAGGATGAGAACGAACGTAAACCTGGAGTTGAATTTGCAGATATTGGCTGTGGTTATGGCGGATTGCTGGGTAGTGTTGAACGATTATTGATTTTTCTATGAAAAAACTTTATTTGACAATAATTATATTGAATTGCTTTGTTTGTCTGCATGAAAAATAGTCACTCTGTCAGGAATGTTTCCGGAGAATTTAATATTGGGAATGGAGATCAGGATAAAAGTATCTGACTATGTCATGGACAGGATTGCAGCCTTGAGATCGCAACATCCAGGTCAATACCGAAATATTGCTTGTTTGAGGACAAACGCTATGAAGTATTTACCAAATTACTTCAAAAAAGGACAGGTACTTAATCTATTTTGTTTATTTCAAACAAAACGAAAATTATAATTATAAACGTTTGTTTTTAGTTGAAGAAAATTTTCTTCTTGTATCCAGATCCTCACTTCAAGAAGGCGAAACACAAGTGGAGGATTATTAACAATACATTACTGGCTGAGTATGCTTATATTTTAGCTGAACAGGTAAATGTTTTATCTCTTGAATTATTTAAATACTTTGATTTAATTTAATTAGCGCGAAATTTTTAGGCGATTGTCTACACAATGACTGACGTGAAAGATCTTCACGAGTGGATGGTTAAGCATTTTGTGAATCACCCTTTATTCGAAAGAATTTTAGGCGATGAATTGGTAAGTAGTACGTGTTATGTTTATTTATAAACCAAAAGCTGTATTGATTTATTTCATGTTTCAGGACACGGATCCGATTGTTCCGAAACTTTATGAGAGTACCGAAGAAGGTCAGAAAGTCACGAGAAATAAAGGAGACAAATTTTTAGCTGTGTTCCGTCGAATACCCGACAAATTCGTACCTCATGATAAAAGATAGCGTGGGCTATTGATTTTTTTTTTAATTGGAAATCCAATATTTTATCAAATTGTAAGAGCTGTATTAATAAACATTTTATTATATAATAATACAATAAACTTCAATTTAAAATAATTTGGATTTAATTTCGAAAACTTTATTACACAGGTAGTTTGATAGAATGTAATTTCAGTTATATAATTGATCAGAATCGTAGTTGAAATTACGTACTAAATAATTGTGTAATAATTTAATCTTGATACCTATTTCTCTTTGCGTTGAATTCTAGTTACAATAACAAATGATTTAAATTATAATTAAACCGAATTTACATGCAGAGTTTGATTACATCAAAAGCTTTCAATAAACTTTAATTTAATTTTTTAAAAAATACCATTTAAAATAAAACTAGGGCAACTAGATTATTTTAAAATAATTCCAGTACAGAGATATTCTCGGTCACTGTTAATTGTTTTTTTTTTTAATGCTTTACGTTTATCACTGTACACTACAGTACTTCTTGAAATGCTATTTTCGAAGATTCGGTTTTGTTTACAAGCACTATTTCCTTGGATTGAAGATAACTTTAGACCTATTTCCGTAATCAAATAGAATCTACCAAGTCTCTCCGTTAAAATTTCACTCTATGATTAATAGTTTCAGATATCTTAAACTTTTTTATCAATTTCTATTTAAATTTGCAATCAGATTATTTGTATAAAGTACAACCAAGCGTTTTATACGTTTATCATCAATCGGAGTTGATAGTAAAACTTGAATGACGACATGAAGATTTATTGGAACATCAGAAATATAAGGAGGATCTCATGACTGGTAGTCACGAGACTGGAAGTTTATCACGGCACCCTCAGTCATTAACGTTCTTTCACTTTCTCTGACAATTAATGACGCTAATATATTTAATTTTTCTACATACCAAGGCCAGAATTTTAATATTAAACATCCGATATTTTTGCTTTAATTAATCATCCAAAGATGTATATTATCTATTATAAGAAATTGTTAATTTTATTGCATGCCAGAAAATTAATTTAGTTCAATATTCTGTATGAAAGTTTTTAATAGCTTTTATATACTCCTCTGGAAATTTTATTGCTCAGGTTCATTTTGATAAGACAATTACGTGTCATAATAATACGAATATATCAGTCTGACATAAATCGTACATTTCTACTTGTTAGTAATGTTACTTGACATCAACAAACTTAAATTAATAGAGCAATTTAATATCGATCTTTATATTATATTAAAGGCTTAAGCTTATAATTTATAATAAATATAACTAATTATAAAAACTATAAGCATTCGCTTCTATATCTTCCAACTTAAATTCCACAGTAATTGTTGCAAATTATAACAGGAAATTATTAATCAAATAAATTCAGTTTTATCGTGAATAATATTCTCTGGTTCTGGTAAAATAAATTTTACTCCATAATTTAATCGTATTTTTATTGAGCTTTATTATATTTATATGACCATTGCGCATATGAATGTTTCGAATTCCTCTTTCTGAAACACGAAATTCCGCAATTAATAAAACATGAAGAATAAACGGATTAATGTTTTTGTTTTTATTACCAGCGGAAACCTTTGTCATTTGATTTTAATAAACAATCACTGAAAATTGAATAATATTGAATTTCAATGGAATTTAATGGTTTTTAAATAAAATATAAAATATTTGCGTTAAATAAATGTCGATAAATTCAGAAATTCGTGAAACTGAGAGAATTTATTTAAAAAAAATGATTTCACTTAAAAATTCCAATGCGTTCAAATTAATTAAAAAATAAATAAATAATCTGTATTTTTTTAATATTTATAAAATCTCGAATATTGTACTGTAAAAAAGTAATATTACATAAAATTTACATATGTGTAATTTAATTATCAATTTTAACAAACTAATGAAAATAATATTTATTTTACAATAAAAAAAAATCAATTGAAAAAAAGTATTAAAAGTTGACGAATAATAGCTTAAATTGAAGATAATTATGTGAATAAAGTTATGTTAAAAGATAAATTTAATAAATTTCATCTACCTTTTACACCTGGAAAATTATTTCTATAAAATTAACGATATTCACAGGTTTTTGAAAATAAAAAAAAAATTTTAACACCCACAACTCGTAAAAACTAACCGGTCGATTTGGCTCATCTTTGAACTTGATCTTTATATTGATTTATTTATTTATTTATTTATTTATTGAAGAAATTCGGCCCTAGAACTGACGTTCCTTAAAGGCCGTAGAAATTTAATAGTATTACATAGTGAGGAAATACTTTGAATACAAAATTAGAAAGTAATTTGAATACAAAATTGAAAAGTAGTTTGAATACAAAATATTGAATAACATTTTAATCACATAAGTAAATAAACGATTATTATTATTATTGACTCTCCAGTTCAGAGAGTTTATAGAATAACACCACAAAATTTCTTAAAGATCGGCTGAGAAATTTCTAAAGAAATCTACTTAAAAGTGCATTGAAAAATAATGTCGATCCATCGAACGAATAATTCAGGAATAATTATTCATTTTAGAATTAAAAATTATTAAGCCGCATTATTAAACGCATTGTTGATAATTCGATCTCATTACATCAACCATAATCCTCTTACTAATATTCCAAATATCATTTAATATAAACGGAGATTCTATTATCATCATTTATATAGATTCCTTTCACATTTAATTAACTACTATCATCAGATGGTGATGATATTTTGACAGCTACTGTCCGAAATTTTCTATTATATCTATTGATATAATATAGATTAATATATAAGATACCATTAAAAGCATTGATTTTTATTGAATAATTGAGAAAAAAGTTTTATTTTACTTATCAATGTTAATAATATTCATTTTTCCACATAGATGTGTCTATTCACACGCAAAAAAATCCTGATAAATCCACGCAGCGTGAATATAAGGGCCTTTACATTCACGCAGCGTGGATTTATCAGGACTTTATTTTTACGTATATGGATAGACATGTCCTTTCCTGAACATAGCAAAGTAAATAAGAAAACTTCGGCAAGTAATAAAATTATATATTAATAAATTTCATTGGATATTCTATTTCCGCATGAATATTTGTGTCCTGCATTATTTAATTTATTATTAAAGGATTCGAAATTTTATTTTTATGAATATATAGAATAGAATATCGTTTTTATTTTTATCACGAGTAGTGTTTTACAAAACTGAATCTTAATTTAATTATTTACATTTGCATATACACAAATTTTGGTTTTTAAGTTTCACTTGTTTGTACTCTCTTTTAATTTTTTACACACCTCATCCTTCATATCACAGTCGCATGACGCATGACAATACTATTAATACTATTTCATACTTATAATCCTATCACAGTAAAAAATATTGTGTAAAATCAACACAGTTTGTGTGTTAAAAACGGTTGACACAAAATATGGTGTTGAAATTTCAACACAAATTTTGAGTAACCACTTTTTAACACAAAGATTATGTTGAAATATCGCCACAAGAGGGCGCAAAGAATCATACACTTCTAAAGTGTCAATCTTAACACAAAATAAATGTTAAATAAATTTATTTATTTTCATCAACTGTTTGATGCCTATAACATAACCTATAAAATAATTTTTTTTTATTTCCTCAACTGCAGTAAATAATATTTATTTAAAAATGTTTTTTTTTATCATTTAAATTTTAACGAAACATCAACAATTATCGACTATAAATAATTGGAAGGAAGAAAGTGTGAAAAATTTTTAATAATTAAATCAAAAAATAATTTATAGGTTTTAAAAGTGAAGCAGCAGAGTTATAAATTTATGAAAATGAAGTTAACCGACATTTTAAAACTTTTAGAAATTTTTTATTGAAAAAATTTCAATTTAACAATTAAAAAAAAAGTGTCACATCTAAAAAATTTTAAAAACTAGAAGTGCAATTTTTTAGAAATATCTTTTTAGTTGTAATTTATGTAATAAAAGAAATTAAAAATTTTTAGACGTCTGCTAACTTCAGTGTCATATAAATTTAATTGTCTTTATTATTTAATATTTATTATATTTTCGTTAAAATATTTGCTGCGTAAAGTGAAGAATCGACGGGCTGTCAACACAAAGTTGATGTTATATTAATGGCGAATTTGACACAAATTTTGTGTTCATTGCCCAGTAACATATAAAATATATTAATAAAGAGTATATAACACATTTTTTATGTTACAAAAGAAAATGACACAAGCTTTGTGTTATTTTAACACAAACCGTTTTCGACACAAATACACAATATTTTTTACTGTGTAGTATCTATCCCTGTATATTAATCACAGCCTTTTTCTGACATTCAATATTGTAATACTACTCATTCTCTTTAAATAATCTTTCTATTTCGCTAACATATATACACAGATCCCTATTTATTTCCCCTTTTAAAATTATCACTAATTTTTCCCTTGTTAAATCCCCCTCTAGTTCGCTCATCCACTTGTTTCTTGCTTGTTGCCCTTTTTCACTTATTTTTTCTTTCATCTTCGATCGAACAACTTAGTATATGCATCAGTATCTCATCCTCTTTCTTACATATTCTGCATTCCCAATTCTTTAGCCCTTTTTTTCCACTCCTCCACAGATTTCCGCATCTCGTTCTGTCCCATACTTCTTTGTATTCACTTTTAATTTGATCTTTTTTCCAATATAGCTGTTTTCACTTTCTTGTAAAATAACTGTGTAAAACTTTTTTATGAATATATATATATATTTGTTTAATTAATTTATTAATAAGTAGATTTTTCATATCCAGCTTTAGTTTTTAATTATTTAAAAATTTTTAACAAAATTCAGTGTTATCAAGTTCGTAAAAGATTCCCTCGCGGTTTTCACTGAACTATTAAAATTTATTCATGATCCTTGATGATTAATTCAAATAGCATTGATGTAATTTGATCCCAAATATTCTTAATTTCTTTTTAATTATACGGAATAATGAAAAAAATGTATTCCTTCTGTAAGTCTAAAAAAATTTTAATCTATATAATAAGGTCAAATAAATAGAATAATATTCGGAGAAAAAAGATTAGATCTTATTCCTAATGTAGAATGGTAATCATTACTATGTTACATAGTAATGGAAACTTATGTGGGAATTTGTATGTAAATTTGTTGTTGGGAAAAATTTTAAAAATTGTAGTAAAAATATGAGTAATATTTTCATAACTCATTCGATGGGGAATTGAATTTTTACAATAATGTTCTTCGTTTTTATATTTTTCTTTAAAAAAATTTCATATCTATATCTATAAATAGATTTGTTCGTTATTTATAAAGCTTTATTAATGAAATTATCACGAATAGTATTGTATACTTCAGAATTACTACTTATTTGCGTATTAGCTGATTCATCAGAGAAAACAAAAACTTGAAGCATTTGGAGTATGTGTATAGAAACTCATAACACTCAGCAGGATACAAGTGTTGACTGAAATCAAACATTGCTAGTATATTTCAATTTCCTTTTACATGCATTTTTCTTGCTCTATCGCTAATATTAACATTATTTTAAAAAAGTATCCTATTTTCTGTTGTTCAGTTTTCTGAAAGAATAATAGTTTTATTCGTATATTGGATTTCTTAGAATTCTTATTACTAAATATCTAAAATTTCTATAATATTTAAAATATGTCGAAAATTCAATTGAAAATAAAAACAAATAATGTTTACATTAAATATTCTTCTCAACAATAAAACTTTACTGCAAATATCTCTACAACATCTGAAGTAATTGGGAACACAAGCAGATGTTGATACATAAAATATGCGATGATTGATTCAAACGTTTGATAGTGTCGTACATAGTTGTACTGTTCAACTCACAAAAAAAAAACTCATGTGTTTTCAGTGGGACGTGAATAATGAATCATTAAAAGCTCGTGCGTAAGGACTAGTTTCACTTATGACACACATCAGTGTCTGTATTAATTTACAAACAGTCTATGTTTTACTTACAGGCATGTCTATGCTTATAATGATTCGGTTGTTTGATTAGCAGTTCGCACTATTAAAGCCAAGAATAATAATTGTCATAGTTGACGTGGCACATCAAGTTGTTCGAGTGTATGTCTAAAGCAATATCATCAGTAGTATGGCAATTTTGAACAACATAAGACCACTTCTAGTGGGTGCTAGAATATTTGGTTGTACTCCTCACCGAATAACAGATCGCGAATTGATAATCACTAATTTTGGTCTTGTTTATTCACTTTTTATTGCCGTGATTATTGGATGCATTTGTATTTTTGATTTTTATATAAATGTCTATCATACAATTGAATTCAAAATGCGATTACTTATTTTTCTGCGCAGTTGTCTTTATTACATCAGTATACTTACTGACGGTGTTATTACCACGATTTGGAACGGCTTTTTGAACATAATAGTATCTCGTATTTACAATTTTGATTATGCAACAAAGTACAACCAAAACAGCAATTATAAAATGATAAACACCTGTAAATTTATAATTATTACTGTTCTGGTATACTGGACCGCTGTTGGTTATTTTACCTACTTGTGCGAAAAAAGTGATTTCATTTTCAATGCTGTTGCTTACTCTGTTGTTAATGTTACAATGTCAATGCAAATTATAAAATTTATTGGATTGTTGCTGCTACTATACCAACGATTCAATTATTTAGATCAAATGGTTCTACAAAGTGACGTTAAAAGAGGTATATTTTTTTAATATTATTTTTATTTAGAACTTTGATGTAGGCGACTTTTTCTAATAAAAATGTGTAAACTGTTCCATGTTGATGGTTTTTCTGTGTATTTTTCTTTCAAAATTTTTATTTTCTTTTCATAAATATTTGAGCTACACAACATGAAAGTATTTCACATTTATGACAGACTTTTATTAAAAATAAAAATTCATACCCGCTTTGTTTACTTGGTTAAGGTATCCACTGGCTAACAACCAGTAAGTTAGTTTTTATTTGAATTTTGCGCAAAACATTGTCGACTTTCGTCGAGTTTTAACATAAAAGTATCTACTTAGTAAATAAACACTATTTACATATATAAAAAAATCTCGCAGTCATCTCCCTGATGCGACTAATGAATTTGTCTTTCTTTATGTACTGGTGAGAATTATTCATTTATTTATTTATTCATTAACCTACGTCAATTGGAAGTATGCATTAAAGAAAATATAAAGTTGAAATATATAAAATATATTCATGAAATAAAATGAATAAGAAACTAGAGGAAACTTTTCTATTAGAGTATTAATTTATACATTCAATATTTTATGATATCTTACATTCTTTGATGGTCCTATAAAAGTATAACAAATATATGTAAAGTGACAGTAAGTATAATTTTACCGTTGAAAGTACCTTAGTTTATTAACTTGAGTACTTATATACAGCATGTATAAAAATTTGTAAAATATATCTTATAATTAAATTAATATTCTACACCTAAAGTACAAAAGCTACTATTTACTTTATATTCATTTATTTTTTGAAAAAAAATGTTATTTTTGATAAATGAATTAAAAATAATGTAGTTGAGTGTTAAATTTGCAGTTTTCAATTTAATTTAAATTAATAATTTCAAAAAGTATGTCTATTTATATTGACGACTTGATGCATGGTTCCATAATTATATTTTTTATCAATCGGAATTAAATCAAAAGTTTTTATCTTAAAAATAATAACTTCGGTAAAAATGAAAGGAAATTTGACAATTTAGGATATTTATAACTTTAAACTGAAATAATTTTTGAAAAAGTAAATTTATCAAAAAAAATATAAGAGATTTTCTCCATAGAGCATTCACTTTCCTATAAAAATATATATCGCACTATCCGATAAGTTGCTTTTAAGATAACCCGTGTAAAAAAAAATCGTCTTAAAATTGTCTTAAAATTATCGTTCGTTTAAGATCTTAAACGTGACACAAACTAAGACTATTTTAAGACTCTTTTAAGACGCCAAAAGAAAAATTCCGAGAGCAGATTTTTGAAAATTTTGTTCTCGAATTTGTTGTGAAAATTAATTTTTAGATGATTTTACGACTTTCTAACCGCAATATTTTTGAGTAAGATGTTTTTAAATTGAATTTAAAATTGTTAAAAAATTATTATCTGACAATTTTAAGACTTTTTTAAGACGTTCCGTTTTAATGTTCACGGGTATTTTTTTTTTACACGGGAAGATTTAAACTTTTATAGTTTAAGAATATTTTTTTCTGCGTTATTTAAATGGAAAATAGAAAACTTCGATTCGCGACTTTTAAATACTAATATTATAATATTAAAGTCTAAAATTTTGACAGATTATTTAAAAAATAATTTGACGATTTTTTTAATACACCCTAATATTTATAATATTTCTACGTCTATAATAATAATAATAATAATAATAATGATAATGAAGATTAAATAAAGTTATAATAATACCAGCCTAAATTTGTAATAATAGGACTTACTGTAATCGTATACCCTGAACGAGGTAACATGAATCTTCAAGAGATCTGTTGGCTTCATTATCTCCTAGTGACAGCGTCGGAGGAAATCAACAGCGTTTATTCTACCCAATTATTTTTCTGGATAACAATAAGTTTTTTGAACGGACTCTCGAGAATTTATACTCTAACAACAATGAAAGCTGAACAAAAGTTATACCTCGTAATTCGAGACTCTTTCTCTGTGGTTGCTTGCGCTGTTAATTTATTCGCTATTTCTGCATTCAGCCACTTCACAGCCGCTCGTGCTAATAATATCAGAAAATCAACTTTTGCTCCTCAAGCTTCAATTAGAATGAAAAAAAATTTTGTAAGTTTTTCTTGTTTTTAATTATCGCCTGCAAAATTTAATTATCGTATTTAATGAAACTTTTTCATTGTTGCAATTAATTAGGATAACTTTGAAGTAATCGCGTATTTTTACCTCAAGAAATTACGCTTCACGGCTGCTGCAGGATTGATTCGAGTTGATCTACCTCTTTTGCTATCGGTATGTATATTTTTTAAATTATTCATAGTTAAGATTTTATAAGTTCATTAAAAAATAGTTCACTGAAAATTTTTATAAAAAACACAATAAATTATTTAATTTGCACTGATAAAAAATTAATTTGATTTAAGAGAAAAACTTTATCACTTGATTCAAGATAATTAAACTCTTCAAAATAATATTCTTGATTTAAGAATTTTTCTTTTAAATCAAATTAATTTTTTTATCATTTTATACTCATCGTTGTTTTCTTTCAGATTATTGGAGCCATAACGACATATCTCGTTATTCTTCATGCAATGAATCCATAACACTTACACCTGTTATTTAATACTCCAGTTACTGGAGTGACACAAATATATAGTATCAATACAAATTTTAGGTATAAAAAAATACTTATAAATTTATTAAAGAATTTTTCCCAAAAATTCAGAAAAATTCTAAAATTTTTTTTTTAAGTTTTCGTTGAAAATATAAATTAAAAATTTAGATTAAATTGATGTCTAAGAAAATGCTACTTGAGATCATAAAAAATATAATAATATAAATCTTAAGTTTCATTTATAATTCTTTCATAAAATTACTATGCAAAGTACTCCCACGATTACGCTTTTGATAAAACATTCTTTTTAGCATGCAAACAGCATTTACTAAAATTAAGAGAAATCAAAACTTTGTAACATAAACTTTACTGATATATCTAAGAAAATTTTAATATATTTTAAGAACGGAACTAAAGATAACAATGAACTATTTATCTTTAAGAATAATTAATACACTACTAACAAATCCATTTTTGAATTTACATAGATACTTAATAATAATAATAATAATAATAATGATATTTAATAAAATTAAATAAGTTTTTGTTATTCAATAATACGTACGATTAAAACAATGAAAGCGCATGCGTTTCCCGAAAGCTCCCGCGCGATTCCTCCAGATTCGTGCATCAGACTTATTTTTTCTGATCCTCATTCTATCTATCAGTTTGCCGTAGACATTCATACATCATCTGTCGTGATTGAATTCAGGTGTAAGATAAATTTATTATTTTATTCATCACTCAAGTTGTTCATCTCCTAAAGTAGAGAAAAAAAAAAAAAAAAAACTTTTAACAAAATTTCACATCAAAATGTTAAATAAAGTAAATAAAAATCCAGGGACAATTTTTATAAAATTGCTCAAAAAATTACAACCTGAAATTTTGTGTTTTAATAATGAATCAATAAATAGTGATTGTGTTTAATTTTCTTAGCCACTCGATTAAATTATTTTGACGTAAGTATACATACGAGTATTTACCCACGTGCATGCAGATTATTCTTGGAATAAATCATAATTCAATAGTGTATTTTTATTTTTATTTAGAGTGAATAATGATAGAACAATGTTATAAATGGGATACTTCAAAATCGATAGGAATGAATTTATAAGTATAAATTTCTATCATCACAATTAACTTTAGCTCTTTTATACATATATTATATATACAGTTGTTTTATAAAAATTAAATCGAGCCGAAGATGGTTTTTTATTGCTTTGGTCGTAAAATATTTTTTCTCATTTGCCACTACCGCACCGGTAATGATCATCACTTTTCTTTAGCGACGAACTACCAGAGGGTAAAAAATAAAATTAATAAGATGAAAAGTTATTTATTAGACAGTATATAAACGCCGGCTTGCGCGTAAGATGAAATTCAATTAATTACTAATAAATTTTAAAGCAAGATAAATTTATGAAAGTCAAATAATAAACGACCCCTTGTTTTTTTTTTCCCATGTTAGAATGCACTTTACGTTATTATACACACACGCTTATCCGTATAAATAATATCATCCGAGTAAAATAATACGAGGGGTGAGAGCAATTGACCATAAATATTTTGATCACGTAGGAATAATGGAGGTGTCTTTGGGCGAAGTAATCTCCGAGCGGGAAGGAAATATCAACAGTAGTCTAGAAATAGAGAAGATATCAGAACTTCTTGATAACTTCTATAAGAGCTTGCAGAACGATGCGGATTATTTCTTGATATCACTGTACATTCCGACAATTGTTGTTGCTGTCACTGCTAATTTAATAGTTATCACTGTTGTGGTTAAATATCAACATATGCGCAGGTATTTTTCTTATGCTATTTATAATTTAAAATTTTTTTAAAGAAGAATATGTTTTTTTTTTTTTAAACAGCAATGTTATTTTTAATTTTCTCTGGACACTCGGAGACTTTTTCTTTCTCACGGAAAACCATTCCCACGAACATTATCATAATGCACATGTATATTTATAAATATTAGGATAGATCGGTACACACGTGTGTACGATGTGTTGACGTGAAAACATCAAGGACCTTATGAAATTATTATTACCAGGCGAGTCATAAAGTTTCACAGCGGTAGAATTTATGATGCTCTGAGAGGCGACAATATTTTTGCTGGTGGTGTATTATATATATGTACGTGACAAAACGTAAACTCCTATTAGCATTTTTTTTCTTTGCTCAGATTTTCCCACAGTTTCTTCAATGAATTTTTCCGGCTGTAAGTTAAATATGTACCTCCTTATTATTGTAATTAGTAAGAAGCAATAGTAAATTGTATACAAATATCTATGTAATGACATGTAAAAAAATGCTCCTGACGAATTTTTTAAATTACCTGCAATATTGAAAACTTTTAAATATTTGAATTATTAATATTTTTACATTACAAATTTACAATATTTGATGGTTACAATATTTAATTAATTTTGCCAGAAAAATTATATCAATCATGAAATATTGTTGGAATTATTAAAACTTGTAGCCGCAAGGCTAAATTTTCATCAAAATCTATATGTAAATTAAAATTTGCCAATGACAGGTTTACAAAATTTTTAATTATTAATGTTTGTTTTTAACTCTATAAATTGTTAAAAAAATTATTTTATATCCATAAAAGAATTTTCATTCAAAATTTTTGCTTTTTTTGTCAAAGAGATAAAAAATTCTATAATCGAATTAATATTGCTTTGCTGTCGCGTTTTAGTAATTTTTTCAATGTGTATTTAATAATAACAAGAATAAAAAAATTTTGATGAATAGAGATTCAATTTAATAAGAATTATTTATAAAATTTCCGGGTGGTTTCCGATAATTCGGGAATTTCGAGTTGTGCCATTGTTCATATGTTTTCATCTATGAAAAAAACTAAATATCAATAAACACGTACGTGTACATAAAATGTTTTTTTAACTCGACTACATATGTTTAATAGTGTATTATTATTATTATTATTTATATTTATTATTGGATTTTTTTCTCCTAAAGACTGATTCTTATTAATACTTTTAGATTTTCAGGTAATAATTGACTCTCCAGTCTAATAAAAAAATTTTTCAAATTATTTTTTCGGTCAAATTTATCTTTAATGACAAATTTAGATATGAATTGTGGCTGAATTATATATGCCTGAAGGGAAACACATGCGAAACATTACGAAAAAATAAATAAAAAAATTGTCTTATTCGACTGGAGAGCCAATTACCTGAAAATCGAAAATTATTATTATTATTATTATTATTATAATGATTAAAATATTAAAATATAGATTCATATAGATCCATAAATCTGTATAAAATAATTTTTTTCAGCATAACAAATTATTTCGTCGTAAATCTGTCGATAGCTGACCTTTTGGTGACACTTATCTGCATGCCTATGTCCGTAAGCCAGGCTATTTCGATAATATGGAATTACGGTGAAATAATGTGTAAGCTTTTCTACTATCTCCAGGGTAAGTGAAACAAATTAAGTGGAAAAAAAAGATCTTTTCTTGAATGAATTTATCTGGATGGTGATCGGATGATTGCCTGATTAAAGTATAGAGATAGTCCCTCATTTTTCAACGGTACACCTATACATTAAACTGCTGAATTTTGTTTCATTATGACCTATAACTTTTATCTCAGAGCAGTAGTATAAAATCGATAATCTAACGAGACTATTTGCTCAACCAAATAAATTTAACAATTTAATAAATCTGGCAAGCGGAATAATGATCGTTATGTCAATTAGTCTTTTTTGTTTTTTAAATTCTTTACATTAAAATTCTTGTAGCCAATTATAAATGTTCATCAATAATTTTTCATTCCTTTTAACGCTCTTTAGATGTTTTTCACTTTGACGGCGAAATCCTTATATACTTTTATAATGATTCAGTATTATGTATAATAAAATAACTTTTTCCTCAAAAGGCGTTGCTGTAGCAGCTTCTGTATTTACGATAACAGCCATGAGTGTTGATAGATATCTGGCTGTCAGAAGCCCAATGGATCTGCATAGAATGTTTAATCGTAAAACCACTATAATGACTATAATAACACTTTGGTTTATCGCGCTCACTATATTTGCTCCACTATTAAAAGCGGTAAGACAAAAAGCTCAAAATTTAACTAACTGAAACAAATATTCACTTTATCTCATTTTCATTATCTATATATGTCGGAATATATTGTGTTATAGATTCCATAAGTAATAATAACAATAATTTTTACGTCTTTATGGTGCTATTAAAACAAATAATTATTTTACGCCCTTATGGCATCTGTACAACGCAATATGTCACCTTTGAAACTAAATTGGCTGACATATATATTCGTATAATTGATGATAATTAAATATGTTAATTTTGCATTTAGGTATCACTTGAAAATCTAGATTTACAATTAAACTTAACTCTTGTTGTGATGGCGGCAGAGAATGAAAGCCTGAAAATCCTCGAACCACCTAGTCTTCTAGTTTGCTCGGAGGATTTTAAACCCCTTGGGATTCACGCACACGTTTTTGGAACCTTTTGCTTCGTACTAGTTTACGCAATTCCCGGTGGGCATAATTTTACAATATATTATATAATTTTATTTATTATTTTTTTTGTCATATTCATCTGTTTTTTTTTTTTTTTTTTTTTTTCATAAATTTGAATTTTTTATCCAGGATTTGTGGTGATTCTGGCGTATTCACTAATGGGTCGGACTTTGTGTGCTAGAAAGCCGCCATTCGATTACGATTGCAACGCTGGAAGTGCAAGCTCACAACAGGTTTTTTTTTTTCTTTATTTATTTTTGTTATCCAATAATATAATCATTTTTTTCGTACCTATACTACAAAAAATATTTATCTGCAATAAACGTAAACACTCTAATTGTTGGTAAATACTGAGTTTCAAATATGTGATATTATAAATATGCATACATACAACGGTCTGGATATCATTTTTTGTATAAATATCGTCATAGATTATTAAATATCTGCATGGATTATTTCTATTAAAAAAGCATACACTAATAAATTAATAAACGTAAATATATCTCGATGATGTTTGTAAAAATTATTTAGTTTTATTTTTATATATGTAGGTCATTCTAAATTTCAATATATACCTGGTAAAACTCTTCTAAAACTCACCATCCTCTTTATGATCACTGAAATTCGTTTCTAAAATTCAATTAATTTAGTTGCAATAGTACTTTACACTGAAAGAAAAAATTTCTTTTGAAAAAATTGAGCAATCCTGTAATAAGAAATTAATTTGTTAAAAATTTTAAAGAATTTTATTTCTTAGTTAAACAAATCAAAATTTCTCTCACAGTAACTTTCTTCTTGAAAAAAAGTTGTTTTTATTTGGAAAAAAAAAAACAATTTTAGATAGACAACTTGCAAATTTTCATCTAAAATTGTTTTTTCTCAAATTTATTATACAAACCTTTTACCGTGCCCTCAACAACCAATTCATTAAACTTGTTCTTGTGCACTGAAAAAAAAATCAACTTGAACCAAGAAAATAATTTTTATTAGTTTTATTGTCTTGAATCAAGGCGAAATATTCTTGAATTAAGTAAATTTTACTTATACAAAAAAAAATTTCTTAGCTTAAGAATTTTTCTACTTAAATCAAGGAGATGAAGTTTTTCAAAATTATTTACTTGATTCAAGTTAATTTTTTTTTCTGTGTGTCCGATGTTGTTAGTTTTTGGTATAAATAGACCATCAGACCATGTAAAATTATGCATAATTATGAAGAATATTATAATACTGAGTAAACAGAATTTTCAATAAAAATGTATGACATGAAACATTATTAATATACCCAGTATATACTATGTATATCGATTAGAACGTTTGTTTTGAAACGTGATAAAAAAAATATTGATTAAATATTAAACTCATATATTTGAATCAATCTCACAGACAACGACCACGTTTTTTCTGATTGCTGAAAACAAAAAAAAAAGTTCAAATTTAATAAATGTCACTTGTGTCATTTTCAAAGCTATAAAAAACGTTTGAAACTTTGAATACCTATAACTTTTGAACCGTTGAGCTTACAAAAATTTCATACCAGACTAGTTTTATTCTTCAGAAAATCTTTTGAGAAATGTTTACCATTGTTCGTTGAAGAAAAAAAAACAATTTTTTTTATTGAAAAAAAAAAAATTATTTTCCATGTTGTTTAAATGAAAAAGGAGACTCCCCCTATTTTTTTTTTCTTTAGGTAGGTCTATAATTGAAATAAAAATTTTTTCCAAGCTGAGGAATTTTTTTATATCCAAAAGAAACTTTTCAGTTCATATAAGCAAAACAAATACTCTAATATTGATAATGGATTATAATGTCACACTAGTTATTCAGAATCCTCCAAAGATTAACAAATGCTTTATTTACAGTATTGACTTGAATGCATTATTTAATCATAAATAATAATAAGCAGTATAAGGAATGAAATAATCCTTCGGGTAGTAAGGATTAATCATTTATAAATAACATGACTATATATTTATTGTAATAATAATGTGATGATAATTGTTAATTAATAAATGTCTTTAAAACTTGAAGGGTTTTAGATTGATGCGTGAGCGTAAGCGGGTAGCTTGGATTTTACTGACTCTCGCCATCCTCTTTGCACTTTGCTGGTTACCGTACAACGTCCTGCGGTTGCTTGTTGACCTCGACGTCGTATGTAAGACCCTTTTATACTGGTCAGAGTGTAAACAGATGTTTATTTCATCACTTTGGAAATTTTATTTGTAGATCAAGACAGAGTGATTCCGGTTTTACTTCCTTATTGCCTGTATCTTGGGCATGCCAATAGCGCACTCAACCCTGTGGTCTATTGCTTCATGACACGCAATTTCCGCCAAAGCGTGAAGCAGATTCTTTGTCGGCGGTTCGGAAAATCTGATAAATCTAAACCCAATCGAAAGGTAATCGCTTTTTTATTTACTATTATATTTAATCAATTTATCATTTTTTTTTTTCCAGGTAGATTTTTTTAGAAATTTTGTTAAATTATTTCGAAGAAGAGGACTGAACCAAAAATTTGTTTATGTACACAGTAGAAAATTTGGTGTTGAATATTTAACACAAAAAATATAAGCGTTATATTAGCAGAATAGCACCCACGATTCTCAACCGATCTTAATAAAATTTTTAGTACTTATTTTATAAATAAATACTTTAGTACATTTAAACTATTATTTTCAACATTTTTTGTACTTTGTAACTTAGAAATGTTTTTTTTTTTTATTTTTCATAAAATTAATTTTCGGCCTTTATCTTTAAATAACTTTTATACATCCACTACAAATCCTATTTATTTTTTGTTATCATATTCGTCTAAGAAATTTACCTATCTATTCCGGGTGTGGTTAAATGGTTTATTTATTATTTTTTATTAATGTATTCCACTCACAATTGGATGATTCATGACAAATTTGTGATATATTTATAGATGACAGGTATATAAATTAATAATAATAATAAGTAGAATATCCACATAATAATAATCCATATTTTATGATTTAATGACTAATGTATTTTTTAATTTGAATAAGAATTCTAATATAGAAATTCTTTGATGACACAACATAATATATAGTTATCATTATTATTATTATTATTTAATTGAAAAGCTGAAATGCTATTCATCAGAGTTATTCCTTTTCATATGAGTATATTAATTTATAGACTGGAATTGCATTTGATTACAGAGTGCCAAAGGCGCAGGTATAATTTTGGGGTCAAGCATAAAACAGCGGGGAATGCGAATTCAAAGAGCACCCCGGGAAGCTGGAATTGTTGCAGAAGCTAAACCTGCAACCGTCAGAAACGTTCCAGAGCGTAATGCAACCTCGAGCAGTGGCTATGACAGCTCTAATAATCGCCACAGCCCGCATCGACGCTGCTATAAGTTGAAAAACTTGTCGACGGTAAAAATTGTAGGACGAGCTTCTGCAACAAATTGTCCTCCCGGGAAGTTGCTCACTAAACAAGAACAATACTTTACAACAAGTTTGAATGATGTTGACTTCAGTAATACAAATAAAATTAACCGAGAAGACCAAGGCCCTCGACGTAGTAGGAGCTTGCAAACTTTATCAACTGTTACCATTCATCGGCAAAATACACTCGAAAGTGCTGTTCAAGTTACTCAGTTTATCAACAATTTCTGAAAGTACCAAGTATCTAACAGTAATTTTATTAATTTTGTAATATTTTACAGTTTAACGCAAATAATATATAGTATACACATTTTCTTTAAATTACATAGCAGACTGGACATGAAAATTAATAAGCATGTTTTGAAATTAAATTTTTTTAAATTAACGGTACCGATGAATAATAAGACCCAGCTAAAGAATTTGTAAAAAAAATATCAAATATCAAATTTAATCTACAAATTTATATGTTAATCATTATTTGCGAATATTTTCTCTATATAGTATTAACAAAAAATTCTACTTTTATCATAAACAAAAACAAAAATAATTATTTTAATTAAATAATGTACATTAGGGCTTATTTTACTACATTCGAATAATGTCGGCTTAATTTTATATAATTAATTAGTTTGCAGTATTATTTACACATCAATAGTATATCTATCATTAGCTGTTACCCACCCGCTCCGCTAAGCGCCTTATTAAATTGCATTTTCAGATCTAGACTTAAAATTTCATTGGATTATTGTATTAACTCGCTCAGGTTCCAAATTTCATCGAATTGGCATTTACCTTTTATTCATGTAATCATTGAATCTAATATTAATTACCACTTTCAATGTGAAATTACTATAAAATTCCCATGGCTTTCCTACAAAAAATTAATAATAATTGACACGAAGAAAAAAATTTTATCAGTACATAGACATTATTACCCTACTACACTTCAAATGTTTAATTTCATTTTTATTTACAGTAAAATTTACCATTTATTGTTTATATTTTGTAAAAAATGTCCTTAAATCATGATTAACGTAAAAATTTATCGATAATATTAATTTGATTTTCAGATACATTGAAAATTTAAAAGCATGTTTTTTAATTTCAATAAATTATATGTTATGAAATTTCATGTCCAAATGTGTATACATACGTTAATTGCATAAAACAGAATTTTTTTTTTATTTAAAAACAAACTTTCATGATAATTCAAAACGAAGTTTGTACAAATACAAAATGATTATTAATAAAGTTATAAGTTTTATTTCTTTTCTATTAAAAATAATTTTAAACGTCATACACTGAGAAAAAGAAAAAAAACGACTGTCAAGGCAATAATTTTTTGGTCTAATAATTTATCGAAATAAAATATTTAAATTTATTCAAATTTATATCACATAAAAATTATGGTGTTTAACGTTTTAGTTAAAGTCAGTTTTTCAATTTGGGATAAAAATAAAATTATTGTTGCCAGTATATTTTTAAATATGAAATACATAAAAATATATTTTAGCATATTGAATAAAATTTTGTCTTCCCGAGTCGAAACATTAATTTTATTTTGACTTAATTATGATTTTTTTTATTAATAAATTTAGCACTTATAGAAGAAAATAAGCAAATTAAAATTTAGAAGATTTTTACTTAAATTTTGAGTAAAAATTAAAATTTGTTTTCGCCCGTACTGGATTGAAAAACTGACCTTTAAGTTATTAAATTTAGTGTTCAACAATTTTATATTAAAAATAACTTTTTTTTCAGTGAAAAATAACAAACGCAACGAAAGAAAAACAAATGTATTTAGTTATTCTCGAACGAATGATGTTTTTTAACGAGAACTGTGATAATGCGCTTTAATTACACTTACTCTCATTTGTACAAAGTTTAAATTAAGATTTTCAATTAAATCTTTACGCTAATTCACAGTTTTTTTTTTTTTTTTTTTTTTTTTTTTTTTTTTTTTTATACGTAAGTACTAATAATAGACAAGATTGTTTATTTTTATTCTGCAAGTCTTCTTATTGGTTGTAAAAAAATTTTAAGTCAAGGCAATATGTATATTGTTTAATTTAAAAAAAAAATATCCTTTGTAAATAATTTCGAATAAGTTTTAAAACTAAAAATCTGTAATTTAAAAAGAAACAATGAATAAATTGTGTAAAATTACGACTAAAAGTTCTGAATAGTGGGAAAACTTAAAGATAAAGACAATATTTGTAAAGTTTAAATCGTATATGTAAATATACAAGTAAGGAAAAAATAACTTTTACGCTCCATATGGCAGCTAGGGACATAAACTTTAAATAATACGTCAGCCGGGTTCAAGTATATTTTCCGACATCGTCTGTGTCTAGTCTAAGTACTTTACTAGTCCCTCATAGATTGTGTACACTCCGACTTTATTAGATTCCTCGGGCAGATGCTGGTGGCACCAATAGAACAATGAATGGTCCTGGTGGTATATTTTGCAAAATACCGTAAAACTGTATGGGGATATCCCAGACTGGAGTGGGAGTTCTGGCCAGAAAAATACTATATACCAGTCTTACTTCTAAGGGTAGTTGGTATATAGTTTATTCGAGAGGCCCGAACGTTTATTTCATCATAGAACTAGTGAGGTGCTGGTCGCATGTTAAGTAGCTTCTGTGAATCTTAAACTTAAAGTTATTCATCGTGCGTTTTAGTCATACGGTATCTTAATTATAATTTTGAAGTTATATATTTTTAAACATTATTTATAAAAAATATTTTAACAAGTGCTCTGTTCTATTCCAAACTCTAATTGGTAAGTGTGATTAAATAAAATTTATATATAAAGTGTAGATATATTTAATTTTAACTACTGGTAATTCTATTTTTTTGAAAATTGATATACTTTTACTAATAACAGCGTTAAATATAATTTAAAAATTTTTATTTCTTTCTAATATGTGTGTAATGTCCGGGAATTTTTATTATTTTATCTAAAATTCAATTAGATAATTTAATGTGACATGACGTGACAAAAAATGTATTTTAAAAATTTTTGTAACTTTTAATTACTCAATTGTCAGTCAATAAAAATAAATCGCTAATTGGTTTTTATACATAATTCGAAATTGCTCAATCACTCGTGTTAAATTCGACATAACATAAAACCGAAATAAAACTATATATATTTTTTGATCTCAACAATTGGTATTTAATTTATAAATAAAACTTATCGTTATTGGAATTCTCGATACAGTTTTTAATGGAAAGTGCGTCAGAATATCTAGCATACCATAGATAAAATAAATATTTTATGAGTGTGTGTCACGGTAACGTTTAATCAGTTGTCTAAATTCAAAATTTTTTAGTCCATATACAATCATTTTAAATTTAATGTGATATCACTTAATTTGTGTTTCCCCCGGCATTAAACAATATTCTATTTACCGACGATATCTTAATTCAGGATTTTCCCGACATAATCATTATTGCCTTCATTCGTTCTCATTCTATATAAAATGATTCCTATATATAAAAGTACAAATATAAATTACTATTTAAAGAGGAAAGTTTAAACAATTAATAACTTACTCCGTCACAGTTTTTTTTTTTTTTTTTTTCAATGATCAATCGTAATCGGTCTACTTACGCACACTCTTATCGTTATCATACAATCTTTAAATTAAACGTGCAAAAAGTTTTTTCGTATCAATTATTTATTCATAACCTTCTCATAATCTGAAACAAATAAAAGAATATAAAAATAATCAAAGGTGGGAATTTACCGAAATTTGGTCAGGGAAAATTTTCATTACTTTATTACAATATGTACTTAGGTAACTGATTGTAAGGATTATAATAGTCCCATATGGCATCCCTTTAAGTTCAAATAAACTTTGGGAAAAAGTTACAGTACGGGGAAACTCATACTTACCCTCAGGTAATAACTCAGACTAGGAAAATAATATTAAATAGTTCTTCTACCATCCACTTTTAACGCTCAAGTACTTTACAAATACCATGTGCTCCTAAGAGTTTATACCTGAAGAATACCTAATTATATGTTTGCACTTAATTCTTACATTCAAATGCTATGCATAATTACATAATCTTCAGAATAGCAGACGTCTTAATTATGGGAAATTCCAATTTAAGTACAGTGTAGCCAAAAAAAATTTTTAAGAAATTTTTTCTTAGAATCCGTATTTTCTTACTAATAATCTTTTCAATTATTAAAATTTGATTTTTTTATACAAACAAAAAAATTTTTTACTCATTATTTTTTTGTAATTTTTATAGAGCATACAAAAATTTTTGAATTATAAATAAATAAATAAAATCCTAAGAGATAAGTCAGAAAAAATTCATGAAAAAAAAAAAAATTTTAATAATTTTATAAATTTTACAGTAGACTCGATTTTTCTCATTTCTACAAAATTGAAAAAAATTTAAATATTAACCTTTTTTTTTTTTTATTTTAATATTGATGTAAATTATTTAAAAAAAAAAAAAAAATTAATATTATTAAAAAATAATCTAAATTTCTTTATAAGAACTTATTTGATGAAAAAAAAAATTTTTAAATGCATGCATACATTATTTAATATTTTTTCAAACAAATGGACGTCTTCTATTTTAAGTAACATATAATTAGTTGATTTTCCAATCGATAAGACAATGACTTACTATACTCTTGATATTGCTTCAAATTTGAATAGAGGCCAATTATCCTGATTTGTATAAATGTCCTATTTTGTACAAAATTTGTGAAGTTAATAGGTTTCAGTCCAGTTACAATCAAATCTAACAATCGGTCTCGGAGGCCAAATCGGGTTTTTCCCTTCATTTACCACTAGTTAGTACTTCAGCCACCGGCGGCGCTGCTTTTCATTAGTTGGTCGTCCATTACAAATTCACACGAGTGGGTTTTCGAGCAGTCTGTTGTCGAACAGCACCAAGTTTGTTTCGCGGGTGTGGTTGTAAAAAATTAAAGTGTGTTCTTTAATAGTGAAATTAAATTCAACATAATAATTATTTTTATAATTATTGCCATAATACCTTTTTGATCAATAATCAGTAATAATAAGCAAATAATACGAACCGAACAAACTAGAATTGCGAAACGCAAATGCTTCTCGCCTTTCTAGCCACCGTGAACTTTCATAGAAGCCATTGATTTGAATGCGGTTGTAAATTATTTAAATAATAATAATACGAATGAGCGAACAGCTGACGTGCTAACGTTTCTAGATTTTAATAAACAAACAATTTATAAATAAAGTACTAGTAGTTAAACAAGTGATTGAGCATTTTTAATATTTTAAAATAAGATAAAAACTATTTACAATGTGGAGACAATCAGAAGCAAAGCAATCAACAGACAAGCATGTTACAGATATCGAGAAAAAAACAGCGATTCAATTTCGAAGATAAAAGTACGTATCATTAAATTTAATTTTTATAGTATTCATTACGATTTATCATACTGAAAATAAAACGCAAAAAAAAATTATCATGGCGCATTTTTGTCATTCTTACTCCGTTTATATTTTATTGATATATTGATAATTCAAAAATTGTTGGATGTCTGCTATTTTTGATAGAAGTTATTAATTTATACATAAAAAATTCCATGCAAATGAAATCAGCAGATGCTCAACAATTTTTTTATTTTTTTTATTAATAAAATTAGAAAAAAAAAAATTTTTTTTTTAATTATTTAAAAAAAATTCTATAAAAACATTAGATGTCTGTTCATTTTATTTTCATAAAAAATTTTGATAAATCCCCACCGTGCAAATATAAAGCCCTTACATTCATGTTGCGTGGATTTATCAGGATTTTTGTTACATATAAATTTACATACCAATAGACGTCCATTTTTGATCTTGTTCTTTATCGCGACTTGATAATATTAAGTTTAATAAATTTTTAGATCGTTCTGGCCAGAGATCAGTTTGGACAATTACGTTACGTGATTCAATTCAAAGTACAATTAATGCTACTATTTGGGGAAATACGGAATTTGTAAACAAACTCAGCGCAACGTATCGTATTGGCAGTGTCATTGACGTGATCAATGCAAAGGTCCAAGAGCGGAAGCCAAATGATAAGAATGAAGAATTTCTACCTTCTGTATCTAGTTCTTGTAGCCTTGTTGTCAATGAAGGTGCATCCTTGATCCAAAATCACGACGGCGCTGATCGAGAAGAGTATGAAGGTCTACTCAGTGTCCCCACAAAAAGTCTCTCAAATGTCAAAAGCCTTCAATACATAATGGAAAACATGGAGGCATTGATCAATCAATATCTTGATATCATTGTCGTCGTTACTTTTGTAAGTTAACCATTTCATAATATTATTATGATTAATTTATATTTAACTGGTAGATTTATTTAGTATTCAAATGAAAATTTGTGTCTAGATCGGAGAGTCAAAAAATATTATTACAAAAGACGGCCGTTCAATGGTAACTCGTGACTTTGAGGTGACTGATGAATCGTGTGGTAATACTACAGTGGCTCTTAAATTTTGGGAGAATGATTGGGTTCAAAGATCGGGTGATTGGGAGCCAAAACGTACTGTTTTATTTATCGTTGACATTCAAGTAGCCTTTGACAGGTTCAAGAAGAAAAATACTATTATTATCACCAGAAAAACTATGATTACGGAGAACCCAAACATTCCTCAAGCTGAAGTTGCTAGAAAAAGTATCAACACGGAATCAGAGTACATGCCAAATGATCCTTTTGTTATCCCGAAACGTGAGTATTGTAAAATGAAGCTGATAGTATAATTTTATTTATAGTGAGTAAAATATAATTTAATTTCAGCTGAAACAATTAAAAATATTATGACGATTAACGAAATAACTCAGAGACTTAATTCAAAAATGATGCAAGATGGCGAAAGGGTTCAATTTGTAACAGTTTTGTACGGACAGATAATGGAAATGAATTTGGATGATTTAAAAATCCCTGTTTTGATTGAACGATGGTTTGTATTTATTTATAATGATCAAGTTTTTTAAAAATGTTAATTGGCATGTTTTTTTTTTTTATTTTTAGCGCTTTGTGCAAACGTTTGGTAAGTGGACCCCACGAGTCATGTATGAATTTGAACTGTCCTTGTGGAAATGGTAGACGTCCAGTCCAAAATATACTTAATTTCTACGTAAAAGTTAATTTGAAAGATGAAACTGGTTACTTAGTTGGTTGTCGTTTGAGTGGAGACGTCGCGGAAAAAACATTTGGCTGTACTCCCGAGGAATTTAAAGTAAAATTATAATAATTAATTTATGATTAATCATTTATGCGGTAGTACTATAGTAATATAATTTTTTAGAAAATGAGCTTTGAAGAACGCACTAATCTGAAGTGGAAATTCATGACAGAGCAAGTTGAAATCAAGCTTCAAGTCATTGGACCAACATCAACATTTCCCAGGTCGCTCTACAATATTTTATCTCTTAAACGCATTAGTGACTCCATAAGTTCTCAAGAGAATTTTAACGACAATGACAATGACAACTAATGACAACCTTCAACGATACTTTATAAATTTTTCTTTCTTATTGTTTTTTTTTTTTTTTTTTTTTTTTTTGTTTATTCTATTATTTTTGTTATAATTTAGTTATACATTTTTTATTTATCGTTTATTACATATCAATGAATTTATGTATTATAATAATGCAGATCTGCATTTAAAAAAACGTGCGTACGCACCCTAACACAATATCAGCTGATCAGCTGACATAAGTACACTTGTATAAACATTCTACTCCAAAATAAAGTGACTGTTAATAATTTCTGTAATAATAATAATAATATATTTTAATAAAATTAAAAATAATTGTTAATCATACATAATTAAGATCAAAATAAGTATCTTTTCCTAACAAAATGACTAGTCAGGAGTATTATAGCCAAGAAATGAACCTCGTTGAGGTTATTCGTGATGAATTACGCCAAGCCACAATCGAGGTGAGAAGAAATCACCGAACAGAAGAACAAAATAAACGTCGAGCTTTGGGAGAAATAATAAAAAATGATGACTCCTGGACTTTAGACACAATTATTAAAAAAACAAAAGATTTGAGAAAAAAACCTTTGTCAATTGACGATTATATCAAGTTGCAAAATTCATTGATTCAGGTAAAAATAATTGTATATTATCATTGATAAAGACTATAAAATTTTTAAATTAAATTAACAGGATGAAGAAAACATAAAAGGATTTTTATCAGTCGGTGGTTCAATAGCAGCGTTGATTCGCGACCTGACGAGCATAAAACCCAGCATTGAACTAGCCGCTGCACATTGTTGCTGTAATATTGCTCTCGGAAATAAATCACAGTGCACAACTTTGTGTAAATATGCGGGACCCTATTTAGTTGAGCAATTAGATACTTTAAGCAATCCTCTCTTGGTAATATCTTTAGTTTTATATTATTTACTAGAAATTTTAATCACGTAAAGTCGTAATTAAAAGCTTGATGATCAACATCTGAATGCTAATTTTAGGAAATAAGTGCCTGGACCGTTGGTAATCTGTGTGGAGGCAGTAAAAATGCATTTAAAGCACTGTACGCACAAGGCTGTCTTTGTCGTTTACTTTCACTATTGCGTGATTGTGACATAATCATCTTACCGTCAATTATTTATGCAGTTACCCAGTGTCTCAACGAAGGATTTGAATTAATCAAGTAAATTTCAAGACTTTGATTCTTCAAACTATAATTATGTATCATAAATTATAAATTATTCAAATTCATTCATTCATTTATTTTAAAATAACTTTTTTTAGTGACTTGGAGGCTGTCGAAATGTCTAAAGGAATAATTGAGCGAGGCTGTTATGATAATTCGTCTGGTATCTGGGTTTTGGCACTTTTATCTTCTAAATTAGAATGTCGCGAGACTCTTTGTACCATTTTATCCTCAGTATTTGACTTATTGATGATTAAGATAAATGAAGAGCCTTCTGATACTAAATTAATAACAGCAGCAATGAGATTGCTGGCAAATTTAATCCCCGAGTCTACTGGTTTTGCTGCTAATGTCATTTTTTACAATCCCAAGTACTCAATCACTGATGTCGAGAAATTATTTAATAGATTGTTGCTTTATCCACACGTTCATGTGAGAAAAGAAACTTTATGGTTATTAGGTAAGTTTAAATAATAATTCAATTCGTTAATTAATTATTATGAATAACATATTTCATAACACATTATTATCATTGCCACAGGAAATCTTTACAACCATCCTCAAGAACAAGTGAGTCAAGCGGTTAAAGATTTACTGCCTCGCCTAGCTAATTTAAAACTAGCCATCCAGTCAGTCACTATCTAAAATCTATAAGACAGTTAATCGTAAAACTTGTGACCAGGTATATATTTAAAAAAAAAAAACAATTAAATTAACAATGCATAATAAATATTGTGGAAAGACACTGATAAATATTTTTTTTTTTTTTTTTTTTTTTTTTTTGCATAGATAAACTACTTATAAATATTAAAATGATAATCGCGTTGCTGAAAACCTTCTTCTGGGTGACATGGTCGATAAGGCGTTTATATTTTCAGCCAAATCTTCGATGCAACCAACTTTAACGACATTGAAATAAAGTTTACCCATAATACTAGCCGTTGGACTGTCTAAATTTTTTAGACACTGATAGAATGCATTGTCACAATCACAGTGAGATCTGCGAAAAAAAAATTTATTTATAAAAATACAATATACTATTTATTTACTCGAAAAATTTTATCAATTACTCGGCAACTTACTTGCTATACAATGAGTAATTAGTAAGATTATAGCGATTTTGTTGTGCGCGAATTTTCACAGGACACAAATCATGAGTCCGACAACATCTGTGATAAAAAATGATAATTAGCGTTATTGATATTCTCGATTTAATTTAATTTAATTAAAGAAAAAAAAAACGTTTAATGTCAAAATGCTACTTACTGATCGATTTCGGTATCTGATCCGAGATCATGATAATTTTCGGCAATGTCTCCAGTTCCACACCATTTAGTACCTAGAGACAATAAAGTATTTTATTGTCATAGCTAAAGATCAATTTAAACGGTATATAATTATCGAGTATTGATTTTACCTGGCAGTATACCAGAAAATAAATTAAGTGCATGAGTGCCAAACATATTGGCTCTTTCGAATGCTCCTTTGGGTGTACTCTTAATTTTATCTTGAGATCTTTGGATTCTGTCTAACATTTCACATCGATACATTAAACTGGTCATTTGTGAAAATGCTATCTCTGTTGGATGTGATGAGATCGAAAGATTTCCGAGTACCTCTCCAGCTTCATTTGGTTCGCTGGAATATTTAATAATTTAATTAAATTATTTAATCGTTAAAATGTACTGGATAATTTTTTGTAAAGTATTATTACTAGTTTAAAAATATAAAAAGTATTACTCTATCAGGTGAATAGTTTTTTTTTTTTTTTATTAATTATTAAATTAAGATGACTTACTAAACTTCAATAATATCACAATTGAGCATTTCATTATTTTCATTAATATCAACGACTGCTACTGCCTGATCATGGTAATAAACAGCCCGCTTAAAATCGGCCGATCGTAATTTAACACTAGGTAGAAAAACTCCTCTTAGTCCTTTGTAAGTACTTCTTGCTAAAAGTGGCTGTGATAAACTGATATCCCAGGTCACTAAAAGCTCCAACAACACCAACAACACTTTTACTCCCGAGCTCATGTCTCTGTTGACTGTCTCGCGTCGCGGAAGTCCATGTATTACCGTTCCCGCTTTCACGATTCTCCTCCTACTCTTTCATCATTTTATTTTATCAGTTTCCAATATAAATTCAAACCAGTACAATTCTTCCTCCTCCAATCTTGGGAGTAAGAGTCAAAGTTTAACACTGGATACTTACGAAAATGTCAGTCAGTCAGTCAGTCACCTTACTTACAGAGGCTGCTACATATACCGCGGCTATAGAATGTCTTGATCGATTTAGCTTTTACATAAATAATTTATACACTTGCACTTATCAATTTTCCCTCAAGTTTTTTTTTATACTTAAAAATAAAACGTTTACCGGTACTATGTTTTATACCAGACTAACCGGGCGACTTGATTCGATAGACTTTGAATTCCACGTTTTCTCATTCATCGGGTGGGGGCTACGAATTAAAGTGGGACAATCAGCCTGAATGGGTAGAAAAAAAGTAGCACGTGAGATTTCTTGTTGCGGATTTTCTCTTTGCTTAGCAAAAACAACCAAACAAACAGGCTAATTTTTATCAAATAGGAGATAAATTTCTCTGTCAACAGTGTTATGAAAGTTGGTTAAAGATTATCATTTAACAAACCAGTAATTAAAAACATCATTGCTGATAATTAAGATGTAGTCGACCCATATCAAAAGATGCATTTAGTTTGTGATCATTACCTTCAGAACCATCAGAAGTTGATCAAAAATCAAGTAAGTATTTCAACACTATAAATCTTCATTAATTAATTAGCATAAAGATCTTCCTGAACTTTAAGTGGTCAAAGGTCGCGAAGCCAAAGATTTATTCTGGAGAAATCAACTTTGAAAAAAAATTTAGTTGTACAAAAAATTCGTACACTTTATTATTATTTTACTAAAAAAATATTTAAAAAATTTAGTACATCATTAAAATAAATGTATTGCTTTAAAATTTAATCTCTCCGCCGTGAAATGATTTACTTCATTTTAATATCTGCAATTTAGATTTTAGTTAAGATATTTTTTGTTTGAAATTTTAATAGTTTTTCATGGCTGATGGTTTGCTGTCGTATCCTGTTGGCTTTGAGAAACGTTAGATTTGAGAGAGCAATCATGAGCACGACTTGTACTTAAAGTTATGCTTATCGGCGTGGCATTCAAAAGCTGCAGTCTCACTGGACACTGTTTATATCCTAGTTACGAATAAACAAAAACAAATATTATATCCACAATAAAAAAAAAATCATAATCACAATCAATTACACATATAATGAAACAAAAAAATATACCAGCATGATGAGGACCGGAGCAATGGCAACAGACAGGATTGTTCCGAGGACGAGAACAAAATTCAACGCTATGAGGTTCTCCGCAGCGTACGCACCGAGGCAAGTGTCTGCAATTGGCAGCCACGTGCCAAAACCCCTGGCATCGGTAGCACTGAAGCACTCCATCGGATTGCTGGCTATTTGATCCTTCTGCCGGGTTACCAGGAATAACTCCCAACTGATAAGGTCCATTTACTCCATTGGCAGTGGATCTCCACCAATTGACGCGCTCCGGCAATCCACTAAATCTAGCTGCGCCGAAGAAATCAAGCCCCTGACTCAGCAAAAGTTCATATTGACAAGCATCCAGGACCTGAAATAAAGTAACATAACAGTTATTCTTCTGTATCATCAATCATCTGAATCATCTGGATGTCATAAAAGCGTTCATCACCTCAACCCGGACGTACTGCCGGTATCTCTCAATGGCTGAGATAGTAATGCCTTGCTTGATAAGCGCTGTCTTTAAGTCTTCCAGAGGAATGGCCCAAGGAACGTCACGCAGGTAGACTGATTTCAGATGCTTTGAATCACGAGCGGAAAACCGGGCCACCTGTCGTTCGTTCAAGATGATTAGGTTTCTATACTAACTATAATATAATACTGTTGCTTATTCTTGTTCTACTTGATGAAACGAGGTCACCTTTCATTGTCACCTCATAACAGGCCGATTACGAAGCATTTACCTGGATAGACCCCTGGAATCTTCGGGATAAATGGCCCCGCTGAACGACTTTTTCCGCGTCTGCTTCCAGTGAAAATGTCGCTATTAATCCACACGACGTTTGTGAAACATTCCAACTACCCGATGGCTCGGATTCTCGTATGGCTTCCTCCAAATAAACTTTTGACAATTCATCCGGCAAGCCCTGAGGATGACTGTTGATTGCTCTCGACACGTACAACGAACAAGCTGGCTCGTCTTCATGCTTTGAATTTTTATCGTCAGTCACCTCGTCTCCCATCCTAAGCGAGGCCTTCAAAGCAGTATTTTATACACTGAAAAATTTTGTTCCGTTATTACTAAGATAAAGATGATATATAATTTATTCATTCAAATAATAGATATTGTTCTCTGATATTATTATTCAGATTTTAGATAAGACATACCTTGACAATCTTCTCTCGTTTTAGTTGAGAAGAAAAAAATAATAATTACAGCGCACATGTCAATCGTTGCCCACTTCACGTTTCATTTTTTTGTTTGTTTATTTTATTTTGTTATTATTATTATTTTTTTTTTTTTTTAAGAATTTCCGGGCATTATCATTTAAAACAAAACGACAAATTTTATTCATGTATTCGTATCACATACTTGTAGCCTGAATATATAAAAACAAAATTTGAAATGGTGAAGTTAATGCTCAGTGGCGCTGGTGTATGCATAACTGCTAAAAATAAAAAATATTATGCTGTTTCTGGCTTTGTGTTCATAGAGCGTAAGAAAGTTCAGGGATAAACACTTTAATTTATATATATGAATATTTTTATTTATTTAATAATTATTAAAATGACAATTATTACATGACAGAACTATGAATATTTTTTTATTAACGTCAGGCTAATTATTTAACGAAGCAGCAATGACTGTAAGTATTTAGAAACTTTTCTTTTTATACTAAGGTTATATTGACTTTGACATTTAGAATAATAAATAAATGGTTGACATTTTAGGATACTACGAAACTACCCTTGCCTCTCAATCCTATTAAATCAAGCCCTTTGGAGGAAAGAAGATTGTGGGTAGGAAATTTAGATCTCAGAATTAATGAGTAAGTATTGTAATTATTTAATTACAAGTAAATTTTATTGTCGGATGTGATATTAAAAGCAGACATAAATATTTCTTTTTGATTAAAAATTAAAACGCAGAAAATTTAAATAATTGCTATGCGTATTGGAAAATTATTATTTTTTTTTTTTTAATTATAATTTTTTTAGCAAGTGAAATTTATGTCTGTTATCTTCAATATCACTAGCTTTTGAGAATAATAAAAATAAATCTGAATTTTTTTTTCCAACTGGTACCAACTATTGAAAATCGTTCAAAAATATGGGAAAATTGAAAAGTTTGATCTGCTCTTCCATCGATCTGGACCACAAGCTGGTCAGCCAAGAGGTTATGCTTTTGTAACATATGTGACTGTTGAAGATGCTGAGAAAGCCAAAAAAATTCTACATAATGCTAAATTAGGGTCTAAGAATGTCATCGTTCGTTGGGCTCACACCGTTTCTGAGGTAATTTGAGTTAAATGTTGATTTACTTATACATAAACATTTTTATCATTGTAAGTAAATAATCAAAAAATTAAATTTTTCATTATTTAATTTTGACTTTAATTTTTGCGCAACATTTTTTTAATTTTTAGTCTTTATTGTATACTAAAAAGAAAACAAAAATACATTTATCAAATGATTCAATTAATAATTAATTATATAGTCTATATAATTGAGAGAATAAGGATAATTTTATGATAAGCATATTTTTATTTTAAAAGTAATTTTAATAGTTAAATTTGATATTATTTGAAAGCTTTGGTGTTTTTTTACAATATTATAAATATTTTGGTGATTGTCAAGTTTTTGTAGCAGTTTTAAATAGTTTGTTGGTTCTATAAGTTTGTTTCGTGACATTTTCAATTAAATAATTGGTAATATTTGAATTATTAATTAGTTCAACAGATATAATCTTGTATTTTTATCATTAAATGAAACAATTGAAAAAAAATTTTAATACTTGTAGGTGGAAAATGACAAGGCAAAACCACTGATTGACATTCCAGCTCTATCAGGTGCCAAAAAAGAAGAAAAAAAAATAAGTCGAGAAATAGCGATACAAGCAATTGAAGCCAAATTGAAATTAATGAAAGAATGTGAAGAAGAATTCGAATTAAACAAACCTCTAGTTGGTAATCCAATAATTCGGCAGTACCAAAAGCCTGAAACGCCAAAACCATCATCATCAAGCAAACACTATCTCCATCGACATCACCAAAATCGTCCATACTCCAGATCGAAGCCGAGAAGATAAAAATAGCTCCCAATGCTCCCAACTATATTTTTATTAATCAAATATATTTAATCAATAGTGGCTTTTTAAAAAATTTTTATCCATGACAATTGTAAGTCGTCCTACTGTGTCTTCGTTTATAAGTGTTTTTGAGATTTAATTATACACATATATATATTGTCAAAAAATTATTTTCGTTGCTTTGTATGTGATTAAAACTCAACGAAAGCTATATATTAATAACTAAAACAAAAAACTAAGAACTGAAGCTCTATGATATTATTGTACAAGTAATTTATTAATTAAATACGCATTTCAAAAAAACTATTTTTAATAATTATTATTATAATTACAATTAAAATATAAAGCTTATCATCTAATTATAACTTATTTCATTTTTTCCATAACTTCGGCGAATAAATCTGGATTGTATTTATACTTTCCTCTCATGTGGAAAGGTAATGGTACAACACTAGGACAAGGTAATTGTCCAGGTACCTCACAAATACAATGTCTAGGGCAACCATTACCAAAGTTTGCTGGATTTATTTTTTTCTCAGCTGCAGCTGCCTCTTTTTCCAGCACATCTTGCGTTTTGCCAACGACTTTTATTAAATGTTCCATGATTTCTTCTTTAGTTCTGCTTTCAATATCAATCAACATCTTTTTGCCATTTGCTATAATAATTTAAATAAAAATTAATTATATTAAATCAAAAATACTTGACAGATTATTTTTCATAGATACATACCATAGTAACATGTAATAAATGGTGAGGGAGTCAAATTTTTAATTGAAATTACTTGTACCTCAGGATTTCTGTATTGAACTTGTGGAACATACCAAAAGATAAAATCTCTATAATAAATAATTTTATCGTTAGCATTACAATATTTTATTACAAAAAACAAATGGTAAATAAAATCTTACTTTGCTCCTTGATGATGTTCACCGTGTGTATTGTAATTAATTGAAAATACTTGGATGCCATTTTTTAAAGCCAATTTTCCAGCATTTAAATATTTCATTGTTCTCCTTATAGGAGATTTCCCAATCATGAACGGCATTTTTAAATTATTTATTTATCCAATTTTTTATTAACTAAATACTCGCTCCAATGTTAAATTTTCTGTCGACTTTAAGGTTATGTCCGATTTTACCGACAGACTCGATTGAACCTCACTAACATTTACATATAAGAGACTAATGTCAGTGCTCCACATTTATTTGCTCCGTGCACAGACATACTATACTTTAAGAGTAAGTATGTGTTTGTGTATACTTTAGTGTTTCTTTAGCATCCAGCAAAAACGCCAATCGCTTTTTTGGTGGCGCTGTCAGTACGCATGAATACGTACTTCATACACCTACACGCTGTTAATGAACTAGTATTAGTATTTTCGTGCATGGAGCGAAACTTAGAACATACACGTGTGAGTAACCGGGCTGATTTTTGTATGCACTGAATAAATAAAATCTCAGCCACCTTTCTCTGCTGCACTTTCTGTGAACCAGCTGTTACGAAAAAATTCTTAAACATTGATTAATTAAAAGAAAAAAAAAATTGTTGCATCATCTTATTGATCCAGGTAATATTTTATTTAATTTTAACCTAGTAAATATTTTTTCAAATTCAATATGTTTGTGAATAGAAATAAATAACACTTCTCGTGCTTCAGGTTATCAAGATGGGTGAATCAATGACTGCTAAAGAAATTCGCCAGGCTTACATTGATTTCTTCAAGGGAAAAAATCACGAATATGTGCATTCAAGCTCTACGATTCCTCATGATGATCCAACTTTGTTGTTTGCCAATGCTGGAATGAACCAGGTATATTTTTAATGATACTGAACTTGGAGACATCTGATAATTTTTAGAATTTTTTTAACAGATAAATTACAGCAAGAAAAATTTATTCAAAAATTTCCATCTAGAAGCTCTAAAAAATTATGAATGAAATTTTTTAAAAATAATTTTCTATACTTAATTTATTTTTCAAGAAAAAAAATTGTCTCTGCTAACTTTAGTGTCATATATTTTTAACTTAGCATGTGACTAAAAATGATTATTTTTTAGTAAAAATGATATTTTTATTTTTAATTGCAGTTTAAGCCCATTTTCTTGGGTACCGTGGATCCAAACAGCGACATGGCAAAATGGGTGCGAGTAGTAAACTCTCAAAAGTGTATCAGAGCTGGAGGAAAGCATAACGATTTAGACGACGTAGGCAAAGATGTCTATCACCACACGTTTTTCGAGATGATGGGTAACTGGTCTTTCGGAGACTACTTCAAAAAAGAAATATGTACTTGGGCTTGGGAGTTTTTGACGCAGATGATGAAGCTGCCAGCAGATAGGTTGTACGTTACCTACTTCGGCGGAGATGAAAAAGCGAATCTCGCTTCAGATGAGGAGTGCAGACAGCTGTGGCTGTCAGTAGGAGTTCCCGAGTCCCACATCTTGCCAGGAAGTATGAAAGATAACTTTTGGGAAATGGGAGAGACTGGGCCGTGTGGTCCATGCAGCGAATTGCATTATGATCGCATTGGTGGCCGAGAAGCCGCTCACTTGGTCAACATGGATGACCCAGATGTTTTAGAAATCTGGAACCTTGTGTTTATTCAGTTCAATCGCGAGTCCGATGGGAGTCTCCGTAATTTACCGAAGAAACATATCGATTGTGGTCTGGGTTTAGAGCGTCTGGTTTCTGTTATTCAAAATAAGCGTGCTAATTACGACACTGACTTGTTCATGCCGCTGTTCCAAGCAATTCAAAGTGGCACAGGAGCGCGACCTTATACGGGGAAAGTGGCCGAAGAAGATCAAGATGGAATAGACATGGCGTATCGTGTGCTGGCTGATCATGCACGTACTATTACCGTCGCCTTAGCTGATGGAGGAATGCCAGACAATACCGGAAGAGGATATGTATTGAGAAGAATTTTGCGTCGTGCTGTTCGTTATGCGACTGAAAAACTAAATGCAAAGCCTGGTTTTTTCGGATCTCTAGTCATGGTAGTCGTAAGTTTGCTCGGTGATGTTTTTCCGGAATTAAAGAAAGATCCCCAATCTATTATTGATATTATTAATGAAGAAGAAACCCAATTTTTGAAAACACTATCTCGGGGACGTAATCTTCTTTACCGTACAATTGCGAAATTAGACAACGCTAAAGTTGTTCCAGGAGACGTTGCCTGGCGTCTTTACGATACTTATGGATTCCCTGTTGACCTCACGCAATTGATGACGGAGGAAAAAGGCATGGAAGTTGACATGGTCGGCTATGAAGAAGCTAAAAAGGCAGCTCAGCTTGCATCCCAGAGTAAAGCTGGGGGTGTCGATGACCAGATTAACCTTGATGTTCATGCAATTACAGAATTGCAAAAAATGAACATTCCTCCTACGGATGACTCCTTTAAATACAATTATACTTCGACGGACGATAAAAATTCCGAGTATACGTTTGAATCGTGTGTAGGTACTGTGATAGCAATGAGACGCGCTAAGAAATTTGTTGAAGAAGCATTACCAGGAGAAGAGGTAGGAATTTTACTGGACAAAACTTGTTTCTACGCTGAGCAAGGAGGTCAGATTTACGATGAAGGGTTTTTAGTAAAAGAATCGAGCAATCAAGATGATAGTACTGAGATTCGTGTAACAAATGTTCAAGTACGTGGTGGTTACGTTCTTCACATCGGTACGGTGGGTATTGGAGTCCTGAAGAAGGGTGATAAATTGCAGCTAAATATCGATACCGCTCGAAGACGTCTTATAATGAGTAACCACTCTGCAACTCATGCGCTCAACTTTGCCTTGAGAAAAGTCCTTGGTACTGAGGCTGACCAGAAAGGATCGCTCGTTGCTCCCGACCGTCTGAGGTTTGATTTTACAAACAAAGGTGCTATGACGACGAAAGACATCAAGAGCGTTGAAGAGTCGACTGTAGGCTTGATAGAAGATAATAGAAAAATTTATGCTAGAGAAAGTAAACTGGGCTTAGCTAAAACTATTCAAGGATTACGAGCAATGTTTGAGGAGACTTATCCAGATCCTGTGAGAATAGTTAGTATGGGTGTACCGATTGAAGAGCTGGAGAAAAATCCTCTTGGGCCTGCAGCTATGACTACCAGCGTTGAATTCTGTGGAGGTACACATCTACATTACACCGGACACATTGGAGACTTTGTTATTGCTTCTGAGGAGGCAATTGCCAAGGGAATCCGCAGAATCGTCGCTTTAACTGGCCCAGAAGCTGCAAAAGCTCTTAAAAAAGCTGAAATCTTGCAGAACCGGGTCAACGTTATCGAAGATAATATGGCCAATGACAAGGAGTTTAAATTTACTAAAGAACACACGAAGAATATTCTAGAGCTGTTGAATGATGTTTCACAGGCTACGATAGCTGCTTGGAAAAAAGATACTCTGAGAGTGAAGCTCAATGGAATGAAGAAAACTTTGGATGATCGGGAACGTCAAGCTAAAGCTGCGGTTGCGACCAGTGTACTGGAAAAGGCAACGCTGATCATCGAAGATAAAACAGGCACACCTGTATTAGTCGAAGAGTTTCAGGCTTACAATAATACTAAAGCTCTCGATGCTGCTCTAAAAAAAGTCAGAACTCTGTCGCCTAATACAAGTGCTTTATTTTTCTCAATTGATGAAGACACCAAGAAGATATTTGCCCTTGCGTCAGTACCTAAGGAAGCGGTTCAAAAAGGCTTGACTGCCAATGAGTGGATTCAGGCAATCGTGCCGTTGATAGGAGGAAAAGGTGGCGGTAAAGCTGAAGCTGCGCAAGCTTCTGGCCCCAACTATTTATGTCTCAAAGAAGCCATGAAAATTGCAAGGGAATACGCTTCTTCAAAGCTTGATAATTAATTTCTTAGGAGTTTTTTAATTTTTGCATCCACTGAAAAATAATTAATTTGCAAAATATTATTTATAATCAAGTTTAAAAAATTTTTCACGTGTTTTTGAGAAAAAAAACTTACTAGATTTGTTAATTTTTATATCATATATTTATAATAAAAATACAAATCATTCTTCTTTTTCCATTAACATTTTGGTATTTTTTTCCTCAACTTCTTTATCATATAGTATGCGAATTTCTTTTAAAAGTATCCCGACATTAGTACCTACTTTTGCTGAAATAGGAATAATTGGTAAGTTTAATTTTTCCTTAAGCTTATTTAATTTTTCTTCTGTTCCTGGCACATCTATTTTATTAGCAATAATTAAAATAGATCTATCACACAATGTTGCGCTAAATTGATCTATTTCATTTCGAAGAATATTAAACTGCTCCCAGGGTTCTTCAGCAGTTAAGTCAAGTATAAATATCAAAGCGGCACATCGTTCTGCATGCTTTAAAAACATAATACCTAATCCTCGGTTTTTATGAGAGTCTTCAATGAGACCAGGTAAATCTGCAACAGCTATTTGTTCATAATCATCATAAAGAACCATTCCTAGATGAGGTCGTAAAGTTGTGAAAGGATAAGGCGCTACTTTGGGCCTCGCTCTTGAAATTGCTCGCAATAATGTGCTTTTGCCCGCGTTCGGAAGACCAATCTACAACATTGAATATTTTTTACAATCCACTTGAAATTCAATTTACCATTTTCTAAAAAAAAAATTCTCACCAATCCAATATTAGCCATGCTTCTGAGCTCAAGCAAATACTGTTTATCTTCTCCTGTAGCACCAACTTCAGAAATCTTCGGCGCTTGGTGGACGTCGGAACAGAAAAAAGCATTACCATGACCGCCAGCTCCACCACGGGCTGCTATGAACATCATTCCATCTTCATCCAAGTCCGCTAAAATATTTCCATCTGGATCACGCACAATAGTACCAACAGGAACTTTTATTACATTATGACGAGCATTTTTGCCCGCGCAATTTTTTGGGTAGCCTTTTTCACCATTCTCAGCGCGAACTTGACTTGGAACATGCGTCAAATCCTTCACATCCTTCGTAGCCTAATAAAATTCTTTTTTAAATTATTAATACAAAAAAAAAAAAGTATCAACTATAAATAATTACAGTAAATAGTTGAACGTACTTCGAAAATTACATGACCACCATGTCCACCGTCTCCACCGTCAGGCCCAGCATTTTCGTTCATAAACAGTTGGAGAAAAGATATGTGTCCATCTCCGCCGGAACCTCCAATGACTTTGAGCTAGCATCAGAATAAATTAATGATTAATATTATTACTTAAATCAATTTATCATTATTTATGTAAAATAAATTACTGCTTTGATATCAGTGAACTTTAGATAATTATCCGATTGAGATTTTCTTTTTCTGCTCCTCAAAGCTGTAGCTACGGGTTCTTCAGTGTTAGTAAATAAACACGCGGAACAATGAACTCCGGGGTATAAAATATTTCTGTTTATAATCTCATGTTTAGGTATAACAGTACTGCAAAGAGGATGTTTGCGGATCGTATTTCTTATTGTTGAAATACCAATACGACGAAAGGACTGCATCTGAAACAAATAGCGTTTGTTTTAAAAAAATTGACACACACACAGTTAGTTTTTAATGTTTAAATTATATTTATTATCTAGAGAATTTTACATCGAGGCTATCTTCTAGGAATTTAGTTATAATATTTTCATGAATCTCAATTACTCTTTTACGATACAACGGTATTTCATCTGACTGATAAGTTATTCTGTAAGTTAACGATATTTTTTCTGTGTCGGGAAATTTATAGTAGCGAATAAATTGGACATTTTTAATAATACGCCCAAAGTTATTATATAAAACAATATAAAAACGAGTTTGGTCAATATTTTCAGTCACTATAAATGTTAAGTCGAAAGTAAAGTCAGGAGGACCGAAAATTTCTTTACGATCAGGATTTAGATCACTCCACCGCACGTATAAATTTGAACTAGTTGAATCAATTGACTGATCAGGCTTGAACTGTTCGAGAAAACAAGGATCTGCTTGTTGAAATACATGGGTGAGAGCCGAATCCATGAAAAACCACTTGTCTTGCCCCCGAAATCCAGTACTAGAATAATTCTGGAAATGACTCGCTACAAACGGTTCGACAGCTGACAAAATAAAATTACCATGGGCTGCCATTTCTTTGATTTTCCATGAATCGCTCCACAGTCTTTGGGGTTTGTCGTAACAAGTTCCACCCTGGCCATTGCACAGGGTGACTAAAATCAACCCGCCTGGCTCTAATATATTTCCAGCTGACTGGAAAAAATTCTGCAGCAAACTCCGATTCAAGTCTAATCGCATCTTGCTTAGAACGTGAGGAAAATTGAATATTATTTTTGTAAATTTTTGAATTTTAAGCCCAGGGTGGTCTTCAAGTTTCGTTGCATCAACTCCTAATAAAATACTAACTCCTGAAATAAAAAAAAAAAAAACCACGGTTTCGCTATCAGGACAACCAGTAATATCTCTTAAATCATAACTCCCAGTACGAACCATTGTTTTTTAAATATTCAATATTTTTTTCAGCAGATTCACTTATGGGCTCGCTTTCGTAGCATGTTGCGGTAAGTGATACTTTTAGGTTATGTTGAAACAACTCAACTGAAAATGAAAAATTACCTTCTCCCAAAAGTAATACTCTGTCATTTTCATTAAAGATTGACAATCTCATTTTTATTCCTAAAATTTTTGATAATTAAAAACAAACTACAACTTTGATCCAGAATTCAATTTTTAATTTAATTTGCCAAAAGACCTTATTATATAAAATTAACATTAATAAATAACAAATCTAAATTATTGTTACAAACCTCCGATTTTATTTAGTGAATATAAAAAATTATTAAAAAACTCCTTTCATTATTATTGACAATTTTGAAGAATTGAAAGCATGGACATGTGTTTTCCGTAATGTGGCGCCATCATTTACAAAACTAAACCACTATTTTTTCCGTGAGTTCAGACACTTGACATTTCCTAAATTTTCCCGCGTTTTCTCTCATTTATTATTTATTATTTTACTGATTAACTTAAAAAAAATATGTCCCGTTAAAAAAATGTTTATTTAATATTAAATTTCCAACTAATAATTTATTTTTCTTTCCTACTCCACTGCTAGAATTTAACAAATGTCAGCGACAATCACTGACATTGAAATAAGACGTTCGCCGTGTAGGATTGATATGAAAAACCATTTATTTGACTATGATTGATAATAACAAAAAAGTAAATATGAAAACAGGTGGGTGTGAGTTTTTTCATTCAATCTTCTACGTCTCGATTAAAAATTAATCAAATCAATGAGCTGACCTTTGTGTAAAACTCAATTCCGACTGCATTTTATATTCTATATTATATATTTATCAATTTCAGTAATATACGTGGGGGAAAGACTCGCATCAACATTACATTGTATATTCCTACCTAAAATATCGAATAATATAAAATTAAAATTATACTTTACAGTTGCTTCAAGAACATGCGATAAGTTAATGAGCAATGACGCCCGTTCGATTAAAAAATTTGAACCTGCACACAATAATTAATTGTCTAGACCATCATAAATTATATGACATCGATCGTGGTTGGCATTGTCTACAAAACATTCATCTCTCATACATGGTTCAATAAATAAAAGTGTCAAGCATCAGATCAACATCTAACATCTTGACGCAAATACACCGACGAGTGACCTTCGTGTTAAATTCATCTTCCTTAGAACTACCGCAGACCGTACAAGGTTCTTGACAACATCATTCGCAATAATCCAAACGCTAAATAATTTTATCTTCTAGATTTATTCATACACCAATTAATTACCTATCGTCATAATATATTAAATCAATCCGAACATCTCAATTTGACTTTGGTGATAATTTAATTGTCTATTGTGCTAATTATAAGTTAATTGTAGCTTCATACGTATTTATCTCTTTACTTTTTTTTTTTTTTTTTTTTTTTTTTTTTTTTGCAGAGAATTTGCGTAATTAAAGTTGGAGTCAACGGATGCTTTAATTATTTTCCAACTCGATTACGGTCATATTGAAGCAATGCCAAGCATGTATACATGATATATACATATACATACGTACATATAGTGGCGATATGACGGATACCTGCGTGCATAATTATTATATACAGGAGTAACGTTAGATAATACCGCATATGCATTCAAAATTATGCAGAGAGCAAAAATGAATGAAACTACTTTTAGAATATTTTACTTATATATACACTGAGCTACATTTTGACGGATGCGTATATTTAATATCAATTTGAGGTAAATATAATATGCATGTGTGGCTCACAAGTGATTTTTATTTGATTTTTACCTCAAAATAAGGGTGTTTTATGTTTACAAAAAAATGAAATCTAACTACAACAAGACTACAAAAAAAAATGGTGGGTAAATATGCCTGCAGTAAATATATATACCACAAAAGTAACGCATTATTTAATAATAATTGGTTAGCTGAGTGAATAACAAATGAAGTTGAATTTGAAGTAAAATTACAGCGACTTACAGCGTGAGAGTGACGATCGATATCTTTCATTCTAGCGTGACAATCGATCCACTTATATCATGTTAGGTATACATAATAGGTACGCGTTTTTCATTTGTATATTTACAAGCTTATAAATAATTGGTTTACTTCCACTATTACTTTTTTTACGCAACTTAATTTACATTTACTTTTATTTTATGTGTGTACGTTTTTATAATGCAGGTACATGAAATCCAGTGTTTTGTTGTGAGAGCTATAAAATAATAAATTGAATGGTTTGTGTATATAAACACACGCAATCCACAAGAGTTCAAGAAAACGTCAAGGGACCGATTTAATTTACGGGAGCATCGTAAACACATCAGCGTGTCTCTAGTATGTATGGTACACTCATGAAATATTTGCCGGTGGTTTTCTTGCTCGATCGACCTGTGTTGTATGTATATATATATATATATATCTGAGACTCGTATGTACGAGGAAAAGTAACGATACTGGAGTTTCATGTTGAAAGGATAGAATATGGAGAATCAATCATACTCTAAATTGAAAGCAGCTTCAAAGATACCACAGTAGTAAAAGCCCAAGAGAGGATGCTATAATGATGATGACGTACCGAAATAATTTATCACTAATGTGTTTACCGTTAAGGCCAAGGTCTAATAGATTATTATGAGAAATTGGTTTTAATCCCCTGATGCTTTGATTTAATAAGTATTGAAGAAAATTGAAGAAAAATAAGTCATTGAGTTAATGTGATAGAAGATTTTGTAATTTAAAATTAATTAGACGATGAAATGACTGAAGTACGCGACTTTAATATTGACATTGAGAAATTTACAAGGACAGTGATATCGTAATAAAAGCTAAGAATTATGGAATTAATGCAACACCAAGTAAATATTTGAATCATATATGTTCACTCAGACGATAATCATACGTTATTTAAATCTTATTGATTTTTAAAAGTTTATAAAGTAAAAATCGCGTGTATAATCGATTATAAACTTATAGCTTCCTGTTTTTAACGTTTAGTTGCTATCAAATACAAAGTTCTGAATGATGACCTTACTGTAAATAAAGCTTAGGAATGGGTAAGTGTTGATTAGTATATATTTAAACTAAACTTTTATTATTCTAATTAGATTGTTGACAGAGATTTCACCAGAGGTAACCAGATGAAACCGAGCTCGGTTGATATGAGTTCAATGCTCTTGAGAATATGATAAAGAGGCTCCACAAGTGTCTAATTTAAGTTGATTCACATTAACAGCTTAAAAACGGCTATTGCTTTCGGAACAGGAAACCTTTGACGACTTAAACTTTAATGGCTGTAATCATAAATTATTTTAAGGCTTAGTTTATCTAATAAGTATGAGTAAAAGTAACTATTTGTCCGGACAATGGATTCGTGACGTTTTAAATTAAATAATTTAATTGCAGGACATGAAAAAACAAGGAGCGGAGAAATTATACAATCAAATATAAACCGAGTATTGCGCCTTGAGACGGCGCTGCGGGCGTCGCGACGCAGGGCGTCGTCGGCAGACGGCGTCGATCTCACATTTACCCTTAAAAACTCGTGGACTGATGACGTCGACTGAGTGAGGCGCCGGGCCGTTATGTGTCATCAAAATTACTAGACTACTCGCATAGCCCAGTGAGAGAAAGAAGATCAAACATAAATAAGTGGGAGTAATATACATAATAACATACGTAATATATACATATATACACGCAGATGTGCTCCGATAATTTTAATATAAAAGTGAATAATTTTATATAAAATTTTGATCAGTTGAACTGGAGAGAGTGATTTATTATTATTTTTGACGACATTTAGTAATGTTAAACAAAAGTACCTAGATAATGCATCAGTCTGAAATATATTTAAAGTTTTTTTATACATGAGATAAAGATAGTTACGTTACCTAAGGGGTAAAAGACAACACAAGGTCAGTTATAGTATTTATTTTTATTTTCTTGCAATTTTCTCTGTAATCTCCTTCAATCTTAATCGTAGAGTGCTCTGGTGTGTGATCAATTGAATTTATCGTTATTATTTATAAAACAGAATGCCAATGATGTTTAATTTGAAGTTTCAAGATTGTAGAGCAGTGTTTTAATTCACTCTGGGACATCAAACTCATTCATTGCATGTACGTGATTTTTTCTTGAATCTCTTATTTTTTTTTCGTGTCTTTGACACGAGTTAATTGGCTGCGAATGCGCACAAAATATCGTCAACTGCAAGTACATAAGCAGAGTACAATTGTATTTGGTTTACGGTGTGTATGAGACGTGTGTTGATAGCTTTAATAACTCATGCATTCAAAGATCTACACGCATTACTCATTTGAATCATCAACACTCTAGTGAGTAGTTATTATATTATTGGTGAGTGAGAGTCAGTGTGTTGATAAATTTTTTAACATGTATCATACATTATTTCCCGGACTTTTGTCGTGGTAACAACAGAAACCGAGTGACACCATTCATTTTAGTTTTTTATCTGGTTTGTTTTAACTCACACTTAATATCCAAATTTTTATGTTTGAATTTAATATTTAATACTTCATTTTATTTAAAAAGTTTTAATTAATTAAATAGAGAATTTATCACTATCTAGGTATCATTAAGATAAGAGTTATAATTAATTTGTTTGTTGGTTTATTTGTTTCAGACAATCGAACACATAACGATGACAAGGATGACAATTGTTTCTAAGTAAAAAAATACTAAATGATCCTGGATCTAATTGCGTTGATGAGTTGCCGCAAACAAACTATTACACTTGTAATGTTCGTGACAACGACCTTCATTTAAATAATAGACACGTTGTGGGGTCGTCGCTTCATTTACCTGATGAATTACCGGCACGATCACTCGGTCAGTGTGCCTCTTCATCGGCTCAACAAAACCTCTAGTGTCCTTATTACGAGGAATGTAACAAATATACAAATTTATTATTACTATTATTATTATTATTATTATTATTTGCCTAATAATAGTGAGATAACATCTTGTTATCAGTCCTTGGATTTCTAATATTAATGACATGGTACGATAAGACGCGGTAATTTTTACTTGTACTAAATGTCAATGAATCGAAGACAGCAGTTATGATTTCATTGCCGTAGTTATCAGTTTGTAGATATATATAGCCACATACTTGTACAATATAACAACGAAAATGACGACAATGAATACGGGTGTCCAACATTTAGAGAAAGCAGCCTCAACTGCCTGTACTATGGCTAACAATTTTTTAGCACCTGTTAAAACAGAACAGCAAATTTATGAAAATTCAATGCTCGAAGATGACCCTAATGCTAATTCTGTTGTTACAACGACAAAAACTTTACCTGATGATAGAACTGTTCCGAGATGGGGGCCTAATCATAAAGGTGCTCGGGAATTAGCCAATTTATATAGTACAGGTGAGAATTGTTTTTTTTGTTATTATAAAAAAATGATTTTTTAATCGAATTAATATTTTACATAAAAATAATTTTTTTTTTCCTATCATGACTTGTAATATTAATTAAACAACTAGTTTGAATTAGCAATAGTTATATAAACCGTGCATGATTCGTAATAAACTTAAATTACACATATCTAACCGTCTATTTATAAATTTAATATCATATCATGCATTATAAATTTATCTTTACATTAAATTAATAGAAAATTTTTAAATTATTCATTTATTTAATTATTTATTTGTTTTTTAATTTATATACAGGAAAACGAACGCAGGAATGTATCTGCGTAGGCATTTGTATAACGCTGATGGCAGTAAATTCATTTTTTATTGTAATACGTTTAAGACTAGAGAATTTAAGTTCAATAGTAATAGCCGCGTTATGTGGAATTGTAACAGCAGACTTTATCTCTGGATTAGTTCATTGGGCAGCAGACACGTGGGGATCGGTCGAGTTGCCTATCCTTGGAAAAGTAAGCCATATCAATCAATCGATACTACTACTGTAAGCTTGTGAGCTTCATTAATAGATGTTTATTTTGTATTTTATTTTATTATTATTGCACAGAATTTTTTGAGGCCATTTCGCGAGCATCATATAGATCCAACAAGTATAACGAGACATGACTTCATCGAAACAAACGGCGATAATTTCATGGTCACTATTCCAGCACTGTGTAAGCTCACGTGGGATTTTCTAACTTTACCCGAGCCAGAAATTCAGCGGAGATTTTTATGGAGTTGCTATTGGTGGCAACTTGCGATATTTGTAGCAATGACTAATCAGGTAAAATTCACTTCTTCAATAATAATATTATTGGAATATAAAAATAAAGTAAAGTTACCAATTAATCATTTGTTTATAGATTCACAAGTGGTCTCATACGTATTTTGGATTACCCGGGTGGGTGGTATGGCTACAGGAACATAGAGTAATTCTCCCGCGAAGACATCATCGGGTTCACCATGTTGCACCACATGAAACGTATTTTTGTATTACAACTGGCTGGCTAAACTGGCCGTTAGAAAAATTAAGATTTTGGCCTATTCTTGAAACAATTATTGAAGGCGTAACAGGTTACAAACCCCGAGCTGATGATTTCAAATGGGCTCAAAAGCGATCTTGAAAGTTACCAATGTTATTACAATCATTAATGTGGTGTATAATCCCGTATATATACGATATGATTGTTTATAAAAAGACAATTACGCTATTGTTATCCGCAAAGCCGCGGACGGGGCCGGTCCCCTTCAACATACTTGGAGTTATAAGTGTTTTATTGCACCGAGGACAATTATCTTCAGGCACATATTTTTTTTAAATTACCAAATGTGGAAAATATTGCACTCTGATTGTAAAGGAAAGTTAAGCAATATACACATTTACAAAGAGTTGCAATGCCGAATGTGCTTTTTAATATTTACACGTTGATAATATTTTTTTAGTAAATCAAAGGGTAATAATTACAATTTGTAATTTATATTATATAATATATGTAAAATCTAAATGATTTTCTGATTTACCTGTAGAGTATTTATTTTGAAAAACAAATTTTATTTATGTGAATAATCACGCTGAAAATACTAAATATTATAAAAGATATATACAATTTCACAAGATAAAGCAAATTAGCCGCGGCCTTAGAAAAGAATTTTAGAGTGATACAGTACTGCAATATTTATACATAACTATTATATTGAAAAAAAAAAAAATAATAATATTACTAAAAATGACTTAAAAACAGAGCACACTACGTTGATACAGTTTATAAGGACTGAAAATCATATATATTTTTTTTTTATCACCAAAAAAATGTCGCACAATATGCCTGAAATAAGTGATTTGTTGACAAAAGAAAAAGAAAAAAAAAAACAATTTTTCATAGTTAAGTACTTCCCTGAACCTCAACAAATCATCTCACTTGCTATTATTTAAACAAGTATCATTGGACTCATTGTACCATCAATTGCACAAATGCTCCGCACTACATTGTATTAATTATATTATATATTTCTTCAGCACAAATATTTTAAATGCCACAAAATAGAAATAAAAAACGCTTAATACGCTGTGCATTAAATAACTAAGTACAAGATTTAGGTTCAGGGGACCAATAATATGAATCTATTGAGCGACACTTAAAGTTAAAATAAATAAATGAATTTATTGATGCAGCTTTTGTAATAAAATATACACAAATGATTGATGGCCATTTACAAGTTGCTTTTAAAAAAATATACAGATAAGATCAACGATATTAAGTAACAAGTTAAATATACATAAAATATAATTCACGCCGTCCTCTAAAAACTATTTAAATATATACAATATACCTCAGTAATTTCAACACAATTAAATCTTATTTATTTATAATCTAACAAATCGTATATAATTTCGGCGTGGAAAGAATTATAATAATAATTATTATTATTATTTACTACCAGTGTGATAATCTATTTAGATAATTTATTATTATTATTATTACAACTATACATCGTAAAATTAAATGATTAAAAGAGTTGATGTTCTTATCGTTATTATTTATTAATATTTTATTTTCATTCAGTGTAATTCATTCAGAATCGCGTTTTAACTTATTAGAAAAAAATACTATGTAAGTCAGTAATAATAATAATAATAATAATGATAATAATAATAATTATTATTATTATAATAAATATATAATGTATGTTTATCGTAATTTAAAAAATGCGGATATTTTTTTTTATTATAAGCATTACCGTTATTGTTGTTATTGAGTACAATAAGAATCGAAAAATATTTATTAGAGAAACTATAAAAATAAAAGTAAATGGAGAAACTTAATTAATTAAATAAATTATAATGATATTAAATAAAAGCAGTAAAATCTCCGAGTTTAAGGAATATAAACCTATGGATTGTATACTCAAAAATGAAATTATTTATTTATCTATTTATTTATTTAGCAGAGAGCTATATATTAAATTTGTACATAAGAGAATGCTATTACTTTTAAAGTTATTGATTGAACAATAATAATGATAAAATGTATACGTAGTGTATGTGAGTTAGAGTGAATTATTTATCAGTCGTTTAGCAAAAAGTGTATTTTTTTACAATGGAAAAATTTAACAATGCTTGTATTCTCACGCCTCAATTTATCTATAACCCGTTTAATCATAACAAAAGCACATTATCAAAATCCGCTCTGCTATTTATTGATGATAATTTATTGTAAAATATTATACAAGCATTCTCTTGAGCTTTTTGTGATATAATTATGTACTAGACGGAATTGAACAATTAAAATTATAATTCGATGCTCAATTTTCTTGATTACTGCTTAATGAAAAGGTACAATTATTTAAATAAAAACAATAAGTGTAATAAAAAATAATAAATTTGTAATACATGGAATTATAATATATCCGCCGACAACGAACTGTATAATATGCCATTGAGCGCCTTTTACAAGCATTATGAACAATAAAATAATAATAATAATAATAATAATATACAATCATGTAAAACAGCAAAAATTTGTGTAATAAATGAAATTAGTGCAGTTTTTAAATTTTTTATCTAGAAATAATTGTTTTATTTTTTATTGGAGTAATTCTTAGAAAGCCTTTCTGCTTTTTAATAATTATTGATTATTAAAAAAATAGAAAAAATAAAAACAAGTGAAAAAAAGCATTGTCTAACAAAATGTATTTACCAAATATGAAAATTAAGTTAGTCGACATTTAAAAATTTTTATAATTTTTTTTTATTGAAAAATCATTACGAAAAATAAAAAAAAAAAAAAACAAAAAAAATTGCACGTCTAAAAAACTTCAAAAACTGTAAGTGCAATTAAAAAAAAAAAATTTTTTTGTTCTAATTTGATTATTAAAAAAAAATCAAAAAATTTAGAACGTCGGCTAACTTTAATGACATTTACTAAATTTAGATTTAAAATATCCCGCCAACGTCAGCGCAGATAAAAAAGTCACGCGACCGGAGGATAAAAAATGGCGGGCGTGACGTGGAAGTAGACGTACACATTATTGGCAAATAATAGTAATGATAATAATTTCAATGAGATAGTAAAGTAACAACAGTTGGCAGCATTGTCGTCGACATTTAAAAATTTTTATAATTTTTTTTTATTGAAAAATCATTACGAAAAAATAAAAAAAAAAAAAAAAAAAAAAATTGCACGTCTAAAAAACTTCAAAAACTGTAAGTGCAATTAAAAAAAAAAAATTTTTTTGTTCTAATTTGATTATTAAAAAAAAATCAAAAAATTTAGAACGTCGGCTAACTTTAATGACATTTACTAAATTTAGATTTAAAATATCCCGCCAACGTCAGCGCAGATAAAAAAGTCACGCGACCGGAGGATAAAAAATGGCGGGCGTGACGTGGAAGTAGACGTACACATTATTGGCAAATAATAGTAATGATAATAATTTCAATGAGATAGTAAAGTAACAACAGTTGGCAGCATTGTCGTGTAAGGATTAGTGACTACCATCGTGCATGGGTTTTGTCGATGGATTTTTACATCAGAAGAGACTCGTTTTGCGGTAAGAGAACATCTATTTGACGTGAAAAATAACCCATTGTCGTTGTTTTATTCGGCATTTGTCGTGACAATTTGGCAGCTGGTCGGCCCAGTGGTTTTGTTTCAAATTGGCGGTAATAGAGCATAAGATTACCGGCGTTCGTTTTGGATAACGACAGTGCGATCATTTGCCCGGGATTTTTTTTAACTCTTGATAATCAACCCCTTTTATCACACAACAATCACTAACAACGTATAGTTTTTCCTTTAAAATAATAATCTGAAGAAAACAAGGCCGTCTGGCTGTGCCGACGCCACAGACTTTCATTGCGGATGCTCTACACAGTCACCAAAGCGTCATCGTATTAAATCCAATCGTCAACGATAATTAAATCTTTTGAGAATATTATTCGACAGAAGAGGGAGACATCACATTATATATATCCATGTGTATATCTCTACATCTCCATCTACATAGACACCAACAAAAATATACATACCTATATACTATACATATATCATATATATATATTTATTTAAGAGAATATAAGGAGGGAGTGCGAGAAAGAGAGGGTGAGGATACCAACGAGGAAGGACAATAATTGCGGCGTCGGTGGCTGCTGCGACAACGACATCAAGACAATACAATAATCATAAGTATAGTTTCAGTATCACAATAGTAACAATAATAATAATAATAATAATAATAATAATAATAATAACAATTATAGTTCTGCTAGTTGTAACATAAATAATAATTATATCAATATTAATATTATTATTATTATTATTATTATCCGATAAAAGGGACACCTTTGATTAATAAAATCATCAGTTAAAAGGATAATAACAAGAGCTAGCCATGAAGCTGGTCGACCACGTGGTGAGGAGCTTTAAAGTTGCCAAGATATTTCGTGAAAACTCGGACCGAATAAATAGCATCGATTTTTCACAAAGTGGTGACACACTGATATCCTGCTCTGAAGATGACCAAATAGTGATTTACGATTGTGAAAAGGGGACACAAATGCGTACAGTTAATTCCAAAAAGTACGGTGTGGATCTTATACACTTTACTCACGCGAAAAACACAGCAATCCACAGCAGTACCAAGGTCGATGACACAATACGCTACCTGAGTTTACACGACAATAAATACATAAGATATTTTCCTGGTCACACCAAGAAAGTCGTGTCTCTGTGTATAAGTCCTGTGGAGGACACCTTTCTCTCGGGTTCGCTCGACAAAACACTCAGACTTTGGGACTTGAGGTCACCCAACTGTCACGGAGTGATGAACGTCTCCGGGCGACCAGTCGCGGCATACGACCCCGAGGGCCTCATATTTGCAGCGGGTGTAAACTCGGAGTGTATAAAGCTCTACGACCTCCGTAGCTTCGACAAGGGACCTTTTGTTACTTTCAAACTTACGCAGGAGAAAGAGTGCGATTGGACAGGACTTAAGTTCAGCCGTGATGGCAAAACTATTCTGATATCGACAAATGGCAGCATTATACGTCTAATTGATGCTTTTCACGGGACGCCTCTCCAAACATTCGCGGGGTACCTCAACAATAAAGGTATCGCCATTGAGGCTAGCTTCAGTCCAGACTCACAATTCGTTTTCAGTGGTTCTACGGACGGAAGAGTTCACGTGTGGAATGCCGACACCGGCTACAAGGTTTGTGTGCTAAATGGTGATCACCCAGCCCCTGTGCAGTGTATTCAATTCAATCCAAAGTATATGATGCTCGCATCAGCATGTACTAACATGGCATTCTGGTTGCCGACTGTCGAAGACACTGCGTAAGACTTTTACATATATTTGTTTTATTTTATAAATATACACGATACGAGTACAACAGGATCTCATCGGTACAGGGAGTGCAAGTATAATTGTTGTGAATAATTAAGGATTTAAATTAATTTATACAGTTACTACTTGTTTAACAACTTTAACACAAGATGCATTTTTTTTACGAATAAAGTAATAATTGTTTGTACGACTTTCTCGTCATCTTAATCAAAGGATGAGAAAATACTGAGAATAAAGAGTAATATAATTTTCTTTTTCTTTATATATAATATATATGTATATACATATATATATATTATATGTATAAATTTAATTAAATAGTGTAAGGAACTTTGTTTAGCGTGTAATTAAGAGCACACGCACCGAAACGTGATCGACAATGCGCCGCCTATATTTATAATATTTTATTATATAAAATATACATATATATATATGATATATTTTGTTTTTTAATTTAGAGAGATAGGTTTGTTATCTCCATCATTGACATCGACACCACCAACACCGATACTATTTAAATAATGGGTATAAGTTTATTATCTTCGGTCACATTATTACTGAACTTTAAATTAATACCGTTAGTATTGACATGTTTGTATCCGTGTACATAGTTATGTTCCTGTGTACCTGTGCTTATCATAACAGCTACAAAAAAAGAAAAAAAAAAAAAAAAAAAAAGAATTGTACATTTGCAAAGTTAATTTTCATAATTGTCGTTCAAACAACCGATTCACTTAATTTGCTTTGATAAATTACTGCCGGAATAATCTAGTTCGTAAACTAAACTTCCATTTCCGAGCCAAAGCTATTTTATTGTTTTTTTTTTTTTTTTAAATGAAATAATTTATGAATCGGTTGATTAAATGCAGAAAACAAAATAAATTAAAAGTTTAAAAAAAAGTAAACCCTGTGGCCCTTTCGTTTATGTAAATACGGCACACCTTTTATTATTCATATATAATTATAGGATAACATGTATAACAAACGTTCCCTTTCTCATTCTCTCTCAAGTTTAAAACATTTTCTCTGCTCTCCTCATTTATTCTGCATGAAATCAACGGGAATAAATATATACATATATCTATATATTCATATTGCATAATATTAAATGTAGATGTAAGGATGAATGTGTGAGAAAGGCGCAAGCGTTTGTGATTTTACGATACGATACGAGTATAGATGTACAACTCGATGTAATATAGTATTTTTTATAAAATGTAATAAACAAAAAAAAAGTTATTAATATTAATTATTATTATTATTATTATTATTATATAATCGCAATTGATATCAATCGAATTATTTGTCTTCGATCATTATTAATAATATGCGCAATTAAATCCAAGTATCATCAGGAGTTTATTAATTATATAAATATTTGTATATCTATAAGAAAATTATATAGATTACACAAAAATTTTGTATTGTTTAACCATTAAAATATTTAATACTTGTCTGAAATTTCATTGAATTTTACTGCCGTATAACATGTAAATATTTAAAAAAATATTATATAAAAAAAAATAAATAAATAAAGTAAACATTATGATAATGATAAATATTAAATAATTGACGCTGTGAGAGATAATAGCATAACATTCTTGATGACTAAAATTATAAATAAACTGATATGATCAACATTACGTCAATTCAGTTTTTCTGTGATTTCCGGCTGATCATCACGTTATACAATTATCTATAGATTTTTAAAATACAAACTATAACCGTACATATATTCATTAGTACCAATCATTATGATAATAACAATAAGTGTTATTATTAATTAATAATTATTCAAAAATTAATACAGTTTTGATTTAATGAATAGTACTGAGTAGAAAACCAGGTCCGAGCTAATACCGAGTAGCATGTGAAAATTTTGCATAAAAAAGATTAGTTGATTAACTTAAATATTAAATTAAATAAAAAAAAACAATATTTAGTGTCAAAAGGATTAATTAAGCGTGATTTGATGTATTAAGCAAATTGCGCTCCTTTTCCGTCCGCACAACAAGAAATTATAAACTTAGTAGAATCAAAAATGCTAAAACGTGGTTGTAATAGTCAACGGTATTTAAAATGTTAATTAATATAATTACAAAAATTAATAATAACGATCAATATTGGATACTACAATGGTTATCGAGCAGTTGGCCCTGCAGAAATTAACTAAAAGCTATTTGAAAGAATTTTATTTTAGAAAACGAAAATTTAGGTTTTTTAAAAACAAGATTATTATTTAAGTTTACTTTTACAAGGTGTTATTTTTGCAAGGGTCAATAGCTCGATTACCTATGATAATATATGTAATATTAAAAATAAAATCTTCCATTGTTCATTATTAATTCATCCATCTAGATGAATTGTGTCGTAGCATCTAAAAAACGAAATATATTTACACACATTGATGTATTTTATTCACGTACGTGTTCCTTTCTTTTTTTTTATTTATTGTTAAATATAGTAAAACATTTCATCCTTTTTTTATACTTTCGGACGATGGAGTTTTTATATTTAAATAATAAATATAATTAGATGATAAGAGTAACATTTATAAGCACCCACGCTTCAATTAAACTTGTTTAAGATATTATTAAAATAAAGTAAAAAAAATAAAATAAAATGTAAATGAGTCTCACCGTATTATTTTATCGCCGATCAATAAAGACGATTTGATTGGCTTTAAATTTGTAATAGTAAAAATACATTAATTAAATTCAATTTATATATATTAGCAAAAATTACATAATCACAATTTATTTCTAGATCTTTTTTTATCGCATGTTTTCGTAACTAACTGAAATTTAAATTAACTATCAATGTAAAATTCAAATAATTATTTAGGAATTGATAATTTTATTAAACGTAATTTATTGTAAAAAATTTTGTGAGCCAAGTATATGTTTAGTTTATACATAATCTAGTAATTATATATCACTCGGTGATTTATGAACTATAAAAAGAAAAAAATAATAAATAATGATGATGATATAAAGTCTTGAAATATAACAATACTGTAATTATACCTTTTTCTGTAATTAAATCACCAAGCCATTTGATTGAATAAAATACAAACCGTTTTTTACACCTTAATTACAAGTCAACAATTTTTTTCATTTTCATTACTTAGTATTGATAAGTGATATAATTTTTTTTCTTCCTCGGATATCTCAGTCGGCGCTCCAGACATAAGGTCTCGACCTTCCATGGTCTTGGGAAAGGCTATTACATTCCTTATGCTCGGTGATTTACATATAATTGATATCAGACGATCCATTCCTGCAAATTACAATTAATTACAAACAACTTTAATTAAAGTAATAATAATAATAATAATATTTATTTAAATACCAAATGCAATTCCACCGTGAGGCGGAGCTCCACTTGCTAGTGCTTCCAACAAGTGTTTCATTTGCGAAGTACTAATGTTCAGCATTTTCAGTATTTTTTCTTGCAGCTTTGCATTGTGAATTCTTATAGAACCGCCAGCTATTTCAGAGCCATTCAGTACTAGATCATAATGCAGCCCTCGTACCTAAATATAATTGATTTGATCTCTGGTTCAATTGTACAATTTATTATTTGTTAATATTTATACAAACTTTAAAAGGGTCAGTCTCAAGATACTGAAAGTCATCAGGATGCGGCGCAGTAAATGGATGATGAGTTGAAGCAATACTTCCGTCGTCGTTTTTTTCAAACAATGGAAAATCGACAATCCACAAAAATTCATATCCTTGAGTTCTTATTTGACGTCCTTTTGATTCTATTATATTGGCAAACTCTACAAGAATTTTGCCGAGAAGTTTTCTCTGAAAATTATTATTTAAATTATTTTTTTTTTTACTTCAAGTCATTCAATACTCACAACATTATTTTTGTTTCCAGAAGCTAAAAATAGAGCATCAGTTTTATTGACACTCAATTTCTGATTCATACCAGAAATATCAACGCCAAATTTCTCGACCTTCTCCGGCCATGAATCATCTTGTATTTTTATTTGCATCAATTTAACACCTTTAAAATTCTTATCTCTGATATCATTAAGCTGAGCTTTCACTGCATTTGTCAGAAATTCCTGCAATAAATAAAATAAATTACTTCATTTATAACTGTGAGTTCTAACAATTAAAACCTACAGCTCCCATCGGTATCGGTAAGGCGTAAATTTCATTATCACCCCGAGAATCCGACTGCTGGAGATTTAAAATACGGTAGGGAAGTCTTAAATCCGGCTGATCCGTCCCAAAGAGCTCCATCACTTGCTCATAAGTGAAATGTCTAAATGGAGTAGTCAATGCAGCAGACTCTTTAGGCCAGCAATGACACAGAAGATCTTCTATTAAACTAATAATACCTTCACGGTCAGTGAACGACATTTCTATATCTAGCTGTAAATTATTTAAAATAATTAAAATACCAATCGATAAAAAGTAAACCAAAAAACGTGATGATTGTTAATTTATAAATTTACTTGTGTGAATTCTGGTTGTCGGTCGGATCTAGCACCTTCATCTCTGTAACATCTAGCCATTTGGAAGTACCTATCAATTCCACCGACCATCAGCAGCTGCTTAAACTGCTGAGGACTTTGAACAAGCGAGTAGAATTCTCCTGGCTGTCTAGTTGGTACCACAAATTCTTGAGCACCCTATAAATAATGTTACTTTGAAAAAAATTAAAAAAAAGTACTGACTTTAAGGAACTACATCAGCAAATACTTACACCAGGAGTACGCCTGAAAAGAGTAGGAGTTTCTACGTCGACAAACCCGCAGTCGTCGATCAAATACCCTCGTAATTTGTGCATAAACTCAGATCGTAGTCGTAAATTATTTTGCATTGAGGGAAACCTTAGCGCTAAGTATCTGTATTGCATTTGCAGCATTTCTTTGGGGACATTGTGCTCTCTAATATAAAAAGGTAGCTGTGATGCGGCATTATTTACTATTTCTAGTGCTTCCACAAGAATCTCTATGCTACCAGTTTTCATTTTACGATTTTCTTGTTCTGGCGGCCTCAGGATAACTTTCCCTGTAACCGATAAAACACTCTCAAAGCTCGACTGTTCCACAGCTTTGATTAAAGATTGTTTCTACAATGAATAAATTTTATTGCATCATTAAATAAATTAAATGAAATGGCTCTTTCGATAAATTCTTACATCATCAGGAATCATTAACTGAATAGTTCCATAAGAATCTCTTAACGTAATGAATTTCCCCATTCTCTGGTACTCCATCCATCCACACAGACTGACAGTTTCTCCAACGTCTTCAATTCCCAGCTCGCCGCAGGTGTGTGTTCTCTTGACATACTTGTTAACTGGCAATAATTCTTTATTTTGACTTTTAACCTGAGGATTATCTTGGCTGTAATGAACTGATAATTTTTTAAAGCCGCATATCTTATTCTGTAATAATTTATAAATTTTATTAATGTAACTGAATTAAAATGGATAATACTGATATTAGCAGAGTTTTTGAAATTTTTTGAATTTTTATAAAAAAAATATTTTTTTTAATTTCTATATGTAGAATTTTTGTAACAAATTTTTTTCATTATAATTTAATTGTTAAAAAAATTTTTAAAATTGTTAAATTTAGTATCACAATAATTAAATATTTATTGTTACCTTTGAATTTTTTATCTCCAAAATTGATCGGGAACATCTTTGCAAATAATTAAATCCTCTTCTCGTTAACATGTTTATAAAAATAATTTAAAAATATTTATTCAACAAAATTTTTCATAACATGTGGAAATGATGAAAAAGAATTTTTTCTAAGTTTAGGTATTGACAAAAATTTCTTTTGGAAATCAGCCCTCAGACTGTTTTATTATTGTAAAGAACTAGGTTATGTTTCCTCAGCATCGTAGAATTTACGATTACAAGTTCGGGGTGTAGTGTGGTGCAGTGAAGTTTATTAATAACAGTAATTGATTTAATTTATTATAAAAACTTCCAAGTGAATATAAAGAATAAATAAACATATCTAGTATTTAAATTATTAAAATACAAAATGGTAAGTTTGCATTTTTTTTAAATATTAATATTTATAAATACAAAATCAACAATATTAATTATCTGTTTATTTTTAGTTGCCACTTTCGTTACTCAGGACAGCGCAAAATCATCCTATGGTAATTATTAATTTAACATCTTATTTCTTCTATTTAATTTACTTTAATTAATTATAAAATTTATTTTTAGTTGGTTGAATTGAAAAATGGCGAAACCTACAACGGACATTTAGTTAGTTGTGATAATTGGATGAACATCAACCTTAGAGAAGTAATTTGTACATCACGGGTAAGAAAATATTTTTTATTATTGATTATTATTGACTTAGGTATTACGACAAAATACCAGCGTTCATGTAAACAAAAGAAAAAAAATTTTTTTTTCAAAAAACTATTGCACATTCATATAGATAATTTTGATATAGAAATAAGCAGACATCTAAAAATTCTTTCAATTTTTATAACAAATCAATTATTATAAATAATGTCTTCATGTGGAATTTTTTTTCATTATAATTGTTATAAAACTCTAAAAAATTGTTAAATGTCAATTAAATTCAGTATATAATTTTTTATCATTTTTGAAACCACGTTTTAATTTTCTTTGAGTGTATTTTGTTACGCAGCCAATAATTTAAATGATTTATTTTATTTTTTTCCCTCAAGGATGGTGACAAATTTTGGAAGATGCCTGAGTGCTACATCAGAGGTAGTACTATAAAATATTTGCGTATTCCGGACGAAGTTATCGACATGGTCAAAGAAGATGTTCAAATGAAATCTCGTGGACGAGGTGAAATGAAAGGAAGAGGTGGTCAAAGCCAGCGCGGTGGACGTGGAGGAGGTCGTGGTGGCGGTACTTTTGGCAACCGTGGAAGCAGAGGACCGGCGCCTTTAGGTCGTGGTAGCGGTGGTAATCAAGGCGGCAACAAGCTCCTCAACAAAAATAGAAACAAATAATTTTAATTATTATATATTTAATAAAAATTTTCTAAAATTAATCATGTGATTTTTAATTTAAAAAACATAAGGGAGTAATAATAATAAAAATAACAGTATAAGTTGGTTTAATTTAAGTATTTATTAGTCGTCTTAGACGTTAAAAAAAGCATTTTTTTTTTTTTTTTTTTTCGTTTTTGTACTAGAGTATGATCAACAATTATTCAAGAAAAATAATTTCACACCAAGATAATGGGATGGTTTAGTATTGTAAATAATACTCTATCATTCACAAGTGTCATTACAATAATAATTAAGAGATCAAACGGTCTCAAGGTATATCTTAATTAAGAATACAAATATTAATTTATTCTAATTTTATTTTGTCAGTTACGCTAGTCTTGATTTTTAACCACTATTCACAATATAAAAAAAGACTTAAAAGATAAGGGAAGGTCTCTCCCTTTGGTTGTCGATCAACTAATACGTGTTATGTATTCGTCACATAATCGACTGTGCCACCTTGGCACTTGGACGTAAGAACCATTTTCGTTTGACGATTGCATCTCAATGTTTATCGGCCTTCAACTGTAATGAGAGATAAAGATAAGTTTTATAAAAAATTACGATGGTGATGAAATTAATTTTAATGAAAATATGAAACTTACTGTAAGATGCCAAATCAATCTCGTCTGGTAACTCCGTAATGTTCACGTCGAATCTTTCTTGAACATCATTCAATATTTTAGCGTCGCTCTCGTCACTAACTAACGTTATTGCAAGACCTTTGGTACCAAAACGTCCTGCTCGTGCTACTCGATGTAAATACGTATCTGAGTCTTCAGGCATGTCGTAGTTGAAGACGATGTTTACTCGTTCAATATCCATACCACGTCCAAACAAATTGGTAGCAACCAAAATTCTCTGAAAACACAAAAAAAAATAATTATTAAAAAATATTTTCATGGTTAAATAATCTATATGATAAATTGAAGTAATCAGCAGAGAGTTCAAGAGTAAACATTCACGATGTGATCATGATAATTGAAAATATCCTCATGTAAAAATAATTGTAGATGATTGATTGTAATAACAAGAAGGGTAAATTTACCTTTTGGAAATCCTTGAACTGTTGATACCTTGATAAACGCTCTTCTTGAGTCATTCCTCTGTGGATACCAATTGCTGGGAAATTTTGTTCTGTCAATAATTGTGCTAATGCCATACACCTTTGTACAGATTTAACAAAAATAACAACTTGGTTAAATTCGAGTACATCAAGAAGTTCGAAGAGTTTTTTATTCTTTTCATTTTCCTTCAGCTTGACGTAGTGCTGCTGGAGACCGTGAAGTGTGAGTTTGGCTTCGTCGTCAACGTAAACTTCCATAGGCTGCAAAGAAAATATTTATAAATACACACGTTAACAGATAGTTGAATTGTTGGAATTGAATTTCTATAAAGAATTTAGACTTTTTAAATAGAGTAAAAAGAATTTTTTTCAAATTTACCAAATGTAAAAAATTAAAAAATTGACTAACTGTAATGTATAATGATTATAAAAACTTTAAGTATAGAAATTCAAAATTAATTGTGTTTAAGAGTAATTGTGGATTCTTAATCGATGATCAGATAGTCACTCTGGTTACATACGCTCCGGTGACTGTCCACTGTCAAGGTAGATGCCAGCCAACTTGGCAGTGGATCCCTTGACAGAGATAAGATGGTGTATGTGTCACCCAGGAATGCTCAGCCACACCATCCACTGTGCCCGATTGATGGGAGTTACACTCTCCGCCAGATAGATCGAACTTTTGAATCACCGCGAATTTCATCTCCATTGAAACGCGAAGTAACATGCTTACGGGTAACAATAGACAAAACAATAAGGTGGTGTTTCAGCAGACAATCCACAAATATTGTTGTGATAAGCTTTACTTCGATGCACAAATTATCCACGGCCCCATTTTATATTGTTAAATTTTTATTTGTTTAACGTACGCGATTTAATGATTAACTAAATATTGTAGAAACGATCTAATTGTTGGGCCCTAGCTAATCTCCTATTAGGTGTTTCATAAAAGTCCTCTTGAATCTTCTTTCTTGTAATCTTCTTTCTTCAGGATGTCTTGAAGTCTTCTTTTTAACAAAAATATTTAAGCCTCCCGTTGATTTAGAGTACCCTCCCTCCCACTATCATTCATTAATGGTAAGCATTTATACGAGTGTTAAACGCGAATAAATTGATTGGTATAAAGTAGGATAAAATCATTGAGGTGAGGATTATAATTAGGATCATTATCAAAAAGGATCGTAAAACATGGTATGGTTCAGCGAGTATAAATTGTTGTGGACATAGGATGTTGATGTCCATTATCCAAGGATATGGATGTGTGAAAATCATCAGGATATTCAAATAAATGTGTTTATCAAACGATTGATGCTGCTATCTAGCCTAACCCGCGGGTATTAATTTTTGATAATTATATTTCGCGGGGTCTGAGCTGTCTCCTGGGTGTATGCGTGGGACCAACGAGGTAGAATCGATCGAGGATCGCAGTGAAGAAGAAGATTGGCTATTTACATCTTGCATGAATTTTTTGCAGACTGGTCGAATATCCTTCGATAATGTTGCGCTGAACATCATTACTTGCTTGCCATGTGGAGTGCTACGGAAGATTTCTTGTACGTCTCGCCTCATATCTGTAATTCAAAAAAAAAATACAATCAGTTACTGAACATTTATTACGGTGTATTTAAAAATTTATTGATAATAAAATATCAAGTCAGTTGTGGGTGGTAGAAAATGTTTGTCATCATCTTTAGGCTCTTGACGAGAGAGAACATCATTCTTAATATTTCATTTTTCAATATTAAAAATTATTAAATGTATCAAGCAATATTTACCAAGCAATTCGAGCATTTTGTCACATTCATCGAGGATAAAATGTTTCAAGTGCTTGAGGTTGAGCTTCTTATTCCGTACAAGTGCAAGAATACGTCCCGGTGTTCCTACCACGATGTGAGGGCAGGTATTTTTTAATACTTCTTCATCTTTTTGGATTGGAAGTCCACCAAAGAATACTCCAACCTATAATAAAAAAAGCAAAAACAAAAAGTTAGTAAATTGCAAAATAAATTATACAAAATAAAAATATATTTTATAAAATCTCCATCAGAAGTGGGTAGTGGTAAAAGCAAATGTCATCATCTTAAGGCTAAGAATTATTGCAACATCATCTGGAGATTGTTGATTTCATTCAAGTATATAACAAGTAAATAATAAAAATATCTTATATCTCACCTTGACTTGGGGCATGTATTTGCTGAACCGCTCGTACTCTTTACTGATTTGGAATGCTAATTCACGTGTGTGGCACATTACCAACACGTACACTTGATTCTCTGTTAACTCAAGCTGTTGTAGAGTTGCCAATACAAATACAGCCGTTTTTCCCATACCGGATTTAGCTTGGCAGAGAATATCCATACCGAGTACAGCTTGTGGAATACATTCGTGTTGAACTATAAATATTAAAATAAATTTATATTAATTATTTGTTTTTTTTTTTTTAGCTCAAATATTCGATTAATAAATAAGTATTCGGTATAGAAGTTGAAATCATAATGTATCATACGTCCCTATTTCTATTTAATTCATCATTCATGAAAAAAAAAAAAAAAAAAAAAAAAAAAAAAAAAAAAAAAAAAAAAAAAAAA